GAATCAAAGCTGCGAGTTAATAAACCCTACATACAGCCGACTCGTATTATACAGTTCGCCTCGTTATTGTTGATCAGACAAGTTTGAAATCATCGAAGTATTCGTAGACTGCGAACATAATGCTACCTACGACTACGGTTCGTAGCACGAAAGTTACCGTAGACGCGGGGTCTATCCTAGACACAAAATATGATACAATAGATTAATCAATTTTCATTCAATTAAAGGCAAAGAGATTTACTCATACATCCTACTCTTAGGTAATATATGTTTCTTCCTGCATATTTTGCAGTCAATTGAAAGATATAGGAAAATAGAGCAATTTACAAGAACTAGGTGAACTAGTTGTCGTATTTAATTGACAAACACTTTTCTTGTTTACGACCCATGCACAGATTTTATATCACTGATTTGTACTCGCATATCTTCTCTTTCATGACACTAATTTTGCAAATTATGTTCACATATTCGTACCAGATCACACCGAAAAAATAAAATATATAATATAAAAGTAGTCTTCCAGATTCCAGTTAAATCCTCTGATAAATTTGTTCCTTTGCTATTCAGATATTTAGCAAAATGAAGATATTTTAAATAATGATTTTCAGATAATAGCTGACGATACAAGAGGGTAAACGTTTATTTTCATTTTAAAAAGCCATAAAATAAATATTTCCGAAAAATAAACACGTTTTATTGCCTTAAAATTAAATCAATATATTTTTTTATACCCGCGAAAACGCTTTCCATCATATTCATGATTTCATTATGACATGGTACACAAAACCTTAACTCTATGCACAAAACAGATGCATAAAGTAGATGTCAATAAAACATGAACAATGCCATCTAACGATCGATTGTGAAATAAAAACATATACGAGGGTCAAACTGAAAGTTCTTAGAAAATCAAAAACTGATTACATTAGCCAGTTATTAGTTTTATTATATCTTTTCAAAATATTGTCCATTCACGTTAATACACCGCTGCATGCGATGGAACCACTGGGAAAAGCACTTTGCCCACTCGTCCTTAGGGGTCTCTTCAATGGCATCGCGATACGCAGCCACCGCTTCTTCAGCATTCATAAACCGCTTTCCTTTAAGTTTTTCTTTAATTTTTGGAAATAAATAAAAATCACAAGGCGCGAGGTCGGGGCTATACGGCGGGTGACCCAGTAATTCAACGTTTGATGTCGCCAAATAGTCGATCGTTCGCTTGGCGGTGTGCGACGAGGCGTTGTCGTGGTGAAGGAGGATCCTACTGCGAGGTCGTTTCTCTCGAACTTTTTCCAAGACAAGTGGCAAACAATTGGTAGTGTACCATTCTGCAGAAACTGTTTTTTGATCCTCTAACACAATTGTTGCAAAATGACCTATCCTTCCAAAGAACGAGGCCACCATTTTTTTTCCCGCACTTCGATCTCTCTTCACTTTAGTTGGCAACTCCTCGAAAGGAAACACCCACTGAGCAGATTGTCTTTTGGTTTTAGGATCATAACAGTAAATCCAGCTTTCGTCACCTGTTAGTATGTCGAACACAGCATTTGAGTCACCTCCGTTAAATCTTTCAATCATTTTACGACACCAATCCACACGATGGAGTTTTTGAGCCTCAGTCAAATTATGAGGTATCCACCGGGCGCAAAGCTTCCTGACCGCTTAATGTTCGTGGAGGATTTTGTGCACTTGACTCATACCGATGCCTAAGCTTGTCCGAATCTGTTGATAGGTCACTCTTTTGTCAGTCTCTATCATACGCCGCACAACACAGATGTTATCTTCAGTCGTCGCCGTAGAAGGCCGTCCCTCACGTAAATCATCAGTGAGATTAGTGCGACCACGTTTAAACTCATTAAACCAGTTGTAAACAGTCGCACGAGATGGGGCTTCATCGTGAAAGGCCAATCGTAGTCTATCATAACTTTCTTGTTGACTTAAATGACATCGAAAGTCATAAAAAATCATTGCACGAAAATTTTCTCGTGTTAAATTCATGATGACGTGACACAGACAATTTTCAATTTGCCGCCAAATCGTAAAACAAATGACAAATGAATGAAATATATACTCAGTAATATTGGCAAAGAGTTATATTTTCAAATTTTAGAATTATTTTTTTATTATATTGTTTATAAGTGGCCAGTTCTAAGAACTTTCAGTTTGACCCTCGTATTAGCTAAGAACAGTGCCATCTACAAATTCGATTTATAATAATATTTGACTGATATGACAGTTGTCACCACGGTCACATAATGTTTCAAGTCACGTGACACACAGACAAAATATCACAACTTTTAATTTTAAGATAATCATGCGATTTTAAAACTCAAAATTCGTATCGTGATGTTATTGTGATATAAATTTTAACTTTTGTGCAATTTTGTGACTTATGTTACACTACCGAGACTATCCCATTTACTCTACATATTATTCAATAATGCTGTCGAACAAATATTTTCCATTTATCGTTCAAGTGTCCGAGTATGCCAGTAAAGGGTTGTGTAGGTATATATAATAATAAATCGTACGTTATACCGCTTACGTCGTAGACTACGTGATAGTTGTATTGACGCACGGCACTCTGGCCAATCATACTCACTTCAGTCAGTAAAGAAGAACTTTGCATTATCCAAAATCTACCCACAATATTTATAAAATCGTTTTTCTTATTACTAAGCAACAAATTAAGTGTGTGGTACCATATAACAATATGTTTAATGTTGAGAATTTGACTATCTATAGATGCTATTAGTTCGGCGATTATTAGTAAATCTACAGCTGCCAATAAAACTGTGCGCGGACGCACTATTTACAGAAGTATGTCGAGTCAGTGGGTCGTTATACCTAATTATAGACAGGTTATATCGGCGCACGTACCAGGTGGTAATAGATTATCATACGTATATACTAACTTGGGTTCAAGTTTAAAAGACTTTTTCTTGTATATGACATAATTTCGCTTAGTAACTGAAGTTTCCAAATATTTATTAAATAAATGATTCAAATGATATGTATTGAATATCATGTACCTCAGCTAAAAAACAAAAGATTGCGTATTTTAAATTCATTCCGAAAGGAGAATTTTCTATGTTCAAGGAATAAGTATATTTTGTATATTATATAGCTTCCCATAGGTGAAACATAAATCGGTCCAATAGTTTCGGAGCCTATCCAACACAAACAAACAAGCAATCAAATCACTTTATAATATGAGTATAGAATTTTTGGAAAAAAATATGGCGAGCAAATAAACTAAATCCTCTTTTCTAAGACTTTCACTATGTTGAATATTTTTATTTATACAGATCTCTATTTATTCTAATATTATAAAGAAGAAAGATTGATTGTTTGATTGTTTACAACGAATAGGCTCCGAAAGTACTAAACCAATTTTAGGAATTCGTTATTATATTTTATCCCGAATAACAGCAAATAAAGGGATAACAATAGGAGTGGAAGTTTGTATAGGCAATGAAAACGTTACCATAGTAACGATTGTTTACTATTCAATTTGTCATTGTAATTATATCCGTATCATCATGTCATAATATGAATGGACATCCAAATGAGCAGTTCCCTAGGGACCACGTGGGCGAACCCGCTGACTAAAATGTGGTATTTAAAATTTTTAGTGTTACCTATTGTACAAAAAATATCAATATCACTATAAAAGCACGAAATAAAAACTAAAGAAAATAGAACCAACTTCACACTTAAAAAAAATATAAATGAAAGTGTCAAAAGCGACTTATTCAAGAAAATGCTATTGAAATCGGGCGCCTATCATTTAATTATCTAATAAACCTATAGAAGACCTCCGCCCGACGAGTCATACACATACCTGGGCCAAAATACTTTTTTATGCCTAAAAACCTGTCTCTTTGAACTAATGTTGAATTTTACGGTAAAACACTACAAAAGTGTAAAATAAGTATGCTAATTTCAAAATATTACATTATTGTTTAATACGGAACACAAGATTTGATCAGTAAAAATACATCAATATAACAAAAAATATAGTAACTATTTTGGCATTCTTAGTAACGCATTTGTTCTTCATACAAAATACAGTTGTCCTTGAGCACATGTCTCAAGCTTCTCTGGATTTTTTCCACAATATTTCCTAGGTGGCGATTCATAATGAATTCCGCTTTAAAAATTTAAGCCCTAAACCTTATTTATAATGCCAATAAATATTTTTTACATCAAAAAATTATTGGAGTAAAAAATTATTTTGACTGTGTCCCTAACAAATACTAAAATCATAACTACCTTGCGTTGCTATATGAAAATAAACCTTTAAGTGAGTGTATTACCCTTTTTTGCACCTTATTCGGCTTTACATATTGTAACTCGTATAACGAACGATAGCAACCGCGGGGGAAGAGGATGCTCGTCAGATCAGTCGCGTCGGAGTCGTCGGGGTAGGTGCGTGTATTTATTGCGTGACCGCTGAGTTACCACTGTCGAAAGGTACGTATTGACAATATTTACATAATATTTGTTTTATATGTAGTTTGTCATGTATTGGATCTGTCAGTGTTAGAATATTTGCACTTTGTTATTTCATTTAGTGATTATATACAACATAGTCAAATATTTACAACTGCGATACTGCTACACTGCGTTACTTGAAAATGTAACGCAGTTGTTGCATTGGTAACAAAGTTGTGAATATTTGACTATGTTGTAAATAATCACTAAATGAAATACCAAAGTGCAGATATTCTAACACTGACAGTACAAAGACATGACTAACTACATATAAAAATAAATAATACATTTGTCAATGTTGGTGAAACGTTATTTAAGCCTTAAATTTCATATATTGTTTCTTTTTTTATCTTAGAGAAAAGATTCTGCGCTAAATGGCGTTAACAAACGCAGAAAAACAACGTCGCTATAGGCTTAAATTAAAACTAGACCCGGTGAGAAATGTTGAAGCTAAGAAAAAACACCAAGAAAGGTACCATGCAAATAAAAAACTTGTCAAAGATATGACAGAGCGAGAACATAGGAGTGCTAAGCGTAAATGGAAAACTGCAAATAAGAAACGTCGAGAACGACAAAAAACTGCTCTACAAATTAGGGACATTACACCGACGTCGAGCCAGCGGTCAGGAACTCCAGTTTTACCGAGGCCTAGAGGCCGAAAACAAATTCGAAGAGATAGATCTGCAATGTACAGAAATAATTTGAAATTGCAGGAAGAAAAAGAAAAGTTGTAAAGAAAGAGTAGTAAATATAAAAAGAGATACCAAAGAGCTATAACGTCAATCAAACACACGGAACAAGTAAATAAGCTTAACCAAAATAAGTATTCAACATTATCCAGTGCCATCAAAGACCATTACAGAAGTTTGAAATCAATCAAAGAGAAACAATCTTTAAAACAAATTTACAAGGAGAAGGCTTATCTAACTCTAAAATAAAAATTGCTATTGTACGCGAGACGTTGGGAATTGATATGATGAAAGTGATGAAACGACAGCAGAATACCTCAAAGAAAAATCTGGTAAACAGCATTAAAAGCTTTTTTGTTCGTGACGATGTTTCTAGAGCTACGGCTGGAAAACGGAAAACTGTCACTTGTAATAAAATTAAAATACAGAAGCGATATTTACTAGACACAATGAAAAACCTATTTCATTCTTTTAAAAAAGAAAATCCATAATTGAGATGTTCTTTTTCGTATTTCATTAAAAACAGGCCATTTTATATAAAGCCACCTTCAGTTTCTAGAAGAGAGATTTGCCTATGCAAGATACATACTAATGCGCAGTATATTTTAGATGCTCTCTACAAAACCAGGGTTATCGCTCACCAAAACACTGAAGGAGTTAAGCAAGGTCCGTTTGTATTTAGTGACGGACAGTGACATACAAAACATTGAAAAAGCTCTACCTAAAAACCTTGTACCACTTCAAGGTACGATGCTAGTACATCAAGCTTTTACTGACACTCCCGGTGAACTTCAATATAGAGATCTCTGTTGCTTTTGCCAAAGAGGTTTTTGCTCATGCATGAGCCCAAAAACTTATCACCCTGTACCTGCTCCCGTTATTGACACACTTACAGAAGGTATTCTCTTGGATGGATTGGATGAGGAAATAGTTCTCGATGATATTTTATATATAATTACCTAGAAGAACATTTTACAATACGGTTTATTCCACACCTTCCAGCTCTGATGACGAGTTCTTAGCCAGCTATAGCCAACCATCAGTTTCTAATATAAAAGAAAGGCAATTAATTGAAAAGGAAAATATTCATCCTACAAAGATATCAGACGGTGTCCATGTCTTAGTAAAAGTGTCTTCTGCTAAAGACAAACATTACACTTATCTAGGTGTTGCTAAAAGTGAAGTTGATGAAGAAGGAGACGTCAAAATTATGTTTTATAAGACAGTAGATAAAACTGGTAAAAGGTTCAAAGCAGTAGATACTGATATTTCTTACGAACCTTACGATAACATCTTAGAAATTGTTCCTAATCCTAAAATTGTCGTAAAAGGTAAAAGGATATACTTTGATTATGATAAGCCATTTAACGTCTTTAAAAAGTAGGACTGATTTGAAAGTGTTCCATTAGTTATTAAGGTTGATTTTATGATTTTTATTTTTTGAGTTTTTAAATTTATTTCATTGAAGATACTTTATTTTATATCGAGTCATAGGAAGTTATATTTTGTTATGTTTTTATCGTTATACTAGATCTTTATAGAAAGTACAAATATTGTATGTACAAGAATTGTATGTAAGAAAATACTACCGTGTTACTGGGCTTACTACTGCGTTACTTTTGTGTCCCTCAGATTTTTTATAGTATTTTCAATATATCTATGATTCTTATTATTTAACGTGCTTTAATTTCATACGTACGTATTACTCATCAAAATTGAAAGATTATGTTGTAAGTTGGTATTAATTTTAAGTTTTTATTTGAGATAAATAGAAAAGTTTATGTTATAAAATTAAATTTTGGTAACGCAGCAATCTATAAGGAATAAGGATACTCTATGAAACTGATAACTTCTGTGATTTAATTTTATAAGAAGTTAATTATAAGCGTTACAGTTTAAAACTGACACGTTGTGATTCTCTTTGTACAAGATTAATAAAAATTAAAAATAAATTCAAAATGTAACGCAGTTGTTTAATTTTCCGACACCTTCATATATTGTTGACCATAACTATAATTAACTCATTTAAACTAACGCTGCAGAGGTAGGTACATTATAAACCGAACTATAACGTATCTATATCTGCATATAAAAATAAGAATATTAATATTTTTATAAAAAAAAGAAATTTAAAATCGTATGTTTAGATTAGGCATTAAAAAGTATTTTAGCCCACCTACGCTTCATAAGATGGTGTGATAATAATGTCAAGATTGATTAGAGATATTTCAAACTTTGCAAATTCAAAAAAAACCTATGCAATATTATAATTCAACATTTAGTTTATATTTAGCCCCACACGTCTTCGTAGAGTTAGTTAAATAGTCATAGACGCCACAGTCTACATGTGTTTCTTGGCTGGCTGTTCTTAGAAGCTCATGTACAAAATACAAATTTCCGAGAGGATTATTTATATATCGTCTCACACGATACGTTGTCATTGTTAAAGGTGTATCAGACGCGAGTCATGGATAAATCAATAATAATAGAACAACGAATCGTAACTTCTTTAATAATGTTGTAAAGCTCGAGCAGGAGGGGTCGCTGCCGCCCCACCCCCAACAAAAAATATAGTTAAATTGAAAAACGATCGACGTGTTTCAGTCGTGCAAGTGATCTGCTTTGCCGATAAATCTCGCACGTCAAAATTAAAAAATTCACTAGGTATCATTAACGCAAGATTACTGCTAATACGTAATATGACAGTTAATAGGCGTTAACACGACGCTAACACGTAGTAACCTGCAAAACCAAAATGAATATTTAAAGTGGAAAATATATATATATTTAAAAAAAAAAAAACAAAAAACCTATTTCCGTATAAATTGACTAAGGAACACCTTATTTATTACCATGACGTTTATAGGAATTATTTATCAAAACAAATAAAAGCTTTTCTGCTCTGAAGAACAATTTTGGTTTTGCGGGTTACTACCTGTTTGTTTTCCAGTGTCGATATCCATATAACATGAAAACACCCTTATATGTTCTCAGTAATATAATATTAGTCTCGGTAACGTAATACAATGCAACAATGACACGTGATGAGTGTTGGGCGGCCGCGATATTGCAGTACATCAAGCATGTCCGTTGAAGCGGGAACGGCGGTATCCACGCCATCATCCGTAAGCGACGAGCTCGTGTGCCAGACAGCTCCAATAACGTTCCAAGGAGGGCTACTCCTAATATATAGGTATATTACTAACACGATACTCCATCAAATTATTGATTACGTTTTATACATTAATTTATTAAATATATTTACACACCGAGACAGCTAGTATAGTAACAAATATAAAAGAACTCTGTACATTTTCGCATTAAAAAACGATTGGAAAATGTTAAAATTCGAACGTCATCGTAGTTTCGTTTTTTGGAATAGATGACATAAAAAAATTGTACCGGGAATAACGATCAATTATCTTATTTATATGATCTGGTTGTGCCTAGAATTGATTTTGCTTGACGTACAAACTGCGGCTAGTGACAGGTTACGACCAATTAAAAATAAACTTTAAATATCAAAATTAACCTAAAGTTGATACAAATAAAATAAAATATTATTAGAATGAATGTGAATTACAGGATTGTTACCATGTACTTTATAAGGTAATATTTCGGCGCTGTTGTAAGCGCCATGACATAGAGTAACTAGTTAGTGTAGTTATGTTTTCAGATTAGACATATTTGTTCGAATAATTGTTTGGGTGCGACAGTATTCCACAATATCTCGAGGTCAAAGTTGAACGCGGCCGCGCAACGTAATAAATAGGGTTAAAAATACATGAAGACGATATTAAAACATAAGTTTCAATATATAGATTCCCAGTCGGGGGCAAAGTGGTCTTACTTTATCTGGCTGTACCGTTTCTCAACTTAAATAAAAATAAAAGTATTGAGTGAGAGTAAAGTTCAAAGTCGAAGACGAAAACATTCTGCAGTAACCTTACATGCTACATTACTGTGTACATTCGACATGTACTGGGAATCAAATTTATAACACAATGTTATTGTCGCTTCGTATGTCATCGCGGGGCCGGTTAACCACCTGTCCTTCTGTAAATGTCGCACAAACGGCTTATTCGCTTCAACATCAGAGTTTATTTCGGAGAAATTCAATTGCTAATTTCGGTAATTTGCATATTCCAGTATATGTCGGAAGATGCGTCACGTCATATAAGACGTCACATATGACATGATGTTCAACCTTGCACACTCGATGGATGATCCATCGCGTACTAATGGACCAGTTACACGAGGTCAGTAGCCGAGCCAGTCCAATAGCACGCTTAGGCCGGATTCCATCATAATAACAGACAAAGTTAAGGATTAAGTCTTTGACAACATTTGTCACGCTAAATTTTGGGCGGCGCGAAGCTTGGGCATAAGTTAATAATTATAAGTTATAATGTCATCTAACCATTGCCAAATGGTGCCACTGATTATTTGCTTAACTGGTACTTTTACATATCTGTCATTGTCAAATGGTGCAACTGATTATTTATACCTTAACATGTTTGTTATTGTTAAAGTATGACAGATCGACACACGTTTGGGTGTAGACAAAAGAGTCTCCCATTCCCAATGCTACGCGTGCAGGCCAGTATTAAATGAAAAGCTCGTGACAAAAATGTTTAAAAGCTTTCGGAAGCTTGATTTTAAGTATATTGAAGTACTAAATCCAGTACCCAGTCAGACGCTGGAACACTTGGTGTCGACGACGTGGTCACGACGTCTTAGACTATATTGGCCACGTGTAATGAAGATAATCCTAAGCCAGTCTAATGAAATAGAACGGTTTCTAATTTTACTGAACTGGCTCAATGGATTATCTCAGTTATTGACCTCGTGTAAAATGTCCATTACACGTACTGCCGAGAGACGCTTGACCGATCTTCCCCCAGATTTGCATCGAGCATAACTTCAGAATTCCGTTAAAAGTGAAACGTTATGCCTTTAGGTACGCTTATTTCGTCTTGTATTATCGTTATACATAATATATATGTTATACATTATACATATGTTATACATAATAAATGTTAGCATCACGAAACAATTCTTCCCTTCAACTCCTAATTTACAGCTTGGCTTTGTGAAACGTGAAGTAATAACTATCGATCACGATTATTTTATGGGATGTATACTATATTATTAAAAAAAAAGTTCATAAACTACGAAGTTACGGCCGAATACACATATAAAAATAGTGATAATACAGAAGAATTAAAAACCTTTGCACAATTTTGTTTTGAAGTCCGATAAAAACAACAAATCTTATGCACAATTCAATGAAAAACAAATTTTAAGAGAAATTCCGTAAAGAGAACTTTATGATAATGGCAGAATTGTCGTACAACATTAATACGAATACTGCATCATCATATCATAAAGTAATACAGCTGTGTCAAATCATAAATTATATTAATTAAAATACATAAACTTTACGATTCGCCTGACGCAACGTCCGTAGATTAATACATTTTCCAGTGAATTATAAAATTATTATAAACACCAGCTGACTGTCTGTATGAGAAATAGCCAGCCAATTTTCACTGATGGCTCAGTTCTGCCAAACGTTAAATGTCAAAAGGGACAACGCGAGCCCGAATTCAAACGTCCTCCTTATTCTTCTGAATACATACAATAGTTCCATTCGCGCTTTTCATAAACTGAAACCCAATAGTTTATTGTTAAAACCTCAACGATACTGAAGCATGTACTTACAGTACATGTACTCAGCCCTACGTGCAAGTTCTAGGTTTCGCAAGTGGAAACTGCACACATGGTTGTGCGTCTGTTGATTTCCTCCAAACAACTCAGCCTTAACTTTTGAAAAAAAAAGGAAGCAGATAAAAAGGTCTTTGTAAATTCTGTAGGTTTAAAATTTTTATATTTGAGCGAGTTCCTCGCTGCTAGAGACAAAGCTTCTCTTGGTCGTGTTCTTTCATATTCTCTTAAGTACATTTCAGAAGTAAATTGTGAGAAATTTAATTTAAATTTAAAAAGTCACAAAACACAATAGAACCCAGCATGTATAAAAGGAAAGACATGAAAGATTGTGCCTTATGATTTTTTCTGCCTACCCTACTAGGGCAAAGGATACAGCATCAAGACACAGATACAATAAATGTACGTGATTTCGTAACTTACCGAAGATAAATTCGTTTTGATGTGCTACGCGTAATATTCTAACGACCGAACAATATCTTAATGGTACGTAAACTAACTGTTTTCCAGTACATTTGTCCTATAAACTGCGCCCCAGTTTGCGTAAGCTCGCCTCACACTCTGCGACCAACGCGACGCTTCTCATGAGTGACAACCAAGGATATTCTATCTTTAAAAATATGTATCTCCTAAAGAAACCTCGGCAAAAGCTTTTCCCCGCAAACATTACCGAGAAATCGAATAATAATTATCAAATGACGTCAATGGCACAAAACATCATATTCTTCAACTCTTTTAACCAGTAACAATTTTTTAATATAATTTTACGGATGTCGAAAAATAACAATCTTTTAAGTCTGCCATCAACAAAATAAGTATTATAATGCAGAAGTATCGAGAAACCCTTGCACCGACTTCGTATTTGTATACCAATAATCATACATATATTCATTCGGTCATTGTGTCTTATTAAAACTATATATATATATATATATATATATATATATATATATATATATATATATATATATATATATATATATATATACTTATAGATTATGGATTATATTATAAAAAGGAAAGGTTTGTTTGTTTGTAAGCAGGCGAAATCGCGGGAAAACAGCTTCTATCGTATAATGTGTTCGTTTTGACAATTTTTGATCGACATGAGGCGATGTATCCGCCAGATCGCCAGATACGCACCGAATTTTTGATTTGGTACGTAGAGATTGATTTAGTTGTCTGCAATATGTGCCACTTGAATTTTCATTAAACAGAATTTAATATCACTTCATTTTATATGAACATATACCAACGTTCATGATTAGTTATACAAACAAACTTTTTAAATTGATAAAGTGATGGATGATAATAATTTCAATTAGATAAAATGAATACAGGCAATTTTACATGAAATGTTATATAAACGATACTATGGTAGCAAATAAGAATAAAATGTCGAAAGACAAACAAAGACTACTTTAGGTCCCGATGGTAATTCAGTAACACTTAATTTAAAAAAGTTACATCTAACAGTCCCTTAATATTAAGGACTTTACACGTAATGAAATGTAGAGCCTCGAAACTTTATACAACTCCAATATACCTAGCAAATTGGGAAAGTTTAGTTTAGGATTCGGTTACAAAAGGTGAAAACTCTGTGATATTCTTATTCCTCTGGTGTTTAATTACAGTGAAACCTGGTTAGGTGAAAAATCCGGCAAAAACTCATGCTAAAGTCCCTTATCCTTGGTCACTGAATTAACTCTGTAAGTGGGGTGAAGTCAAAGTCAAAGTCAAAGTCAAAATAATCTTTATTCAAATAGACTTCTTAAAAGTACTTTTGAATCGTCCAACATTTTCTCCCTACCACTCGTTCAGGACGTCTTTTGGCTGATAAGAAGAACGAGCAAGAAACTCACCAGCTCTAATATGAGTAATGACATTTACAAAAACCATGTCATTACCAGATCAATACATTATAAACAGAGATAAAAAAAAAACTATGGTCTTATAATAATAACATAATCATTTAATAATAATGGAAACAAGATAATGAGTTTAGAAGTAATCACCTATCCAGTTTCTGGATCATCTCAAGTCCAAGCGTTCTTATCTGTTACATAATCGGATACCTTATAATAAGCTTTTTTAATAAGTATTTTTTTAATAGTAGATTTAAACTGCATGATATCTAATTGTTGTATTTTGCTTGGGACCTTATTGTAGAAGCGCACACAAAGACCCTTGAAAGAGTTATTAACTTTTTGCAGTCTAGTGACAGGCACCGTTAATTTATTTTTATTTCTTGTATTAAAATTGTGTACATCACTTTTTATAGAAAACAAACTAATATTTTTACGAACGTACATTAAGTTCTCGTATATGTATTGAGAAGCAACAGTCATAATGTCTATTTCCTTAAATTTCTCCCTTAAAGAGTCCCTAATCCTAAGATTATAAATTGATCGAATTGCTCTTTTCTGAAGCACAAAAATTGTTTGTATGTCGGCAGCATTTCCCCACAATAGGATACCGTATGACATAACACTATGAAAGTAACTGAAGTATACTAATCTGGCAGTATCTATGTCAGTTAACCTACGTATCTTCATTACGGCATATGCTGCAGAGCTAAGTCTACTCGACAATCTATCAATATGTGGGCCCCACTGTAGTTTAGAATCTAAGCAGACCTTTGTGCATGATTTAATATGTATAAAAAGGTGGGGTTAATGTGCATATCATATTTATTAATTAAAGGATTCGCAGGTTTACACAACACACAGTAACACACCTTGAGCGGTCCCCGCGCTCTCGTACTTAGATTTAAGCTTAGCGGCGGTCGCCTTCGCGTCAGACCTGACAGTGTCTGTAGCGGACAGGGTCGAAGTTGTCCTAAAGGATAGCGTAGTTGAAAATGTAGAGGAGAACGATGAGCCAAGACCTAAGCCTAATGTGGTACGGTACCGGCGACGATACATTTTTACAGACGTGTGTACGCGACGGGAACACGCACGAGACTGGGAAAGCTGCGTAGGCGCCGCAGCAGGCGGACAACCCGGAAAAGCGGCCACGATTTATTATAGCACAGGAAGAAAGCCACACCACCGACCACCACTTATTAAAACACCAGCTCTATTCTAAGTCGTCCTTTAGGTCTGCAGCCTACCGTAATATAAATCCTTCGATGAGTAACCATGAAAACTGAGAGCTGTGATATAATAAGGACGAAAACACAAAGGATTACTTTACAAATAGTTGTTTTGAGGTAATGTTCTGTTTGAGACATGTTGTAGGTTGAATAAAAAAAAAAGTTTTTTAAAAACAAGCTTGTATTTGTGTGCACTAAAAAGAGAATGAATGAATTCTAAACATTTAAAATACTTATAAAAAATCTCTAACAGTACTCGACTTGAAAACTTTGTAGCGCTAATGAAATCAGAGACGAGGAAATACACATATTTTTACAAGCTATAAGCTTTACAAGTTGATTACTGTTTGAGAAAATTTTGATTATAAGTACTTTATATTTTTATAATTTACTTATTCATGTTTTAGTGCGCACAAATCTAACAAGCCCAAACATTATCCAGTTGTGTCATTTCATCACTAAGTTTCTATGACTACCTTCTGACTTCATCATCATATCAGCTTACTGACACTATAATATTGCATTATCATCTGACTTATATGTCTATCATCACCAGCCCTTTTACGTCCCCACTGCAGGGGCTCAGGCCTTCCTTATGAATGGTTAAGGAGGATGACCCTCCACGCTAGCCCAATGCGGATTGGAGGGTTATATGTCTATGCAAAATTTCAAATCTTTCAGACATTGGGAATCAGGTCAAATTTGAGTTCCAAGATTTGCACACTAACATACAAACAAGGCAAGAAAGCTTGTAAACTCGGTTAAATTATACATGGTATAAAACAAAGTTGCTCCCCCCAGTGACTGACACTGACATCTGACATATTTTAAACTATACAATAATATACAGAGTAATTCAAGAGGAAAATCTCAAACAGTATACATGTATAACACAAGATCGCACAGGCGAAACCACTGGCAGAAAGCTAGTAACTACATAATTATCACTATATTACATATCTATAGTGCAAGATATATACTGAGTCTCTGAATGTAGTGTTATTGAAAAGTTTATTATTTCAAAATAAATTTGATTGTACTGAGGATTTTAACAAATACTTTTTTTTATATTTCATAGCAGTTAAGAAAAAAAAAGGATTTTAAGGAAGTTTTGGTATACACACAAGCATATAAGGTTATAAAAAAAGTTCTGCAATCAACTTCAAATCAACAACAGAATTTCAAAGTTGATTGCAAAAAGGCTTAAAATCAACTAGATATTTGGCCTTTTGTAACAACCTGACACACTATGGATTATAAACAAGTGATTTTTGAGTTTTAATTAGGTGTTTGAAGTTTTCAAAAGATGTTGCAAGTCTTGTCAATTATATATAACAAAAAGAAACATGTATTTTGGTAAATTATAAATATTTAATTTATCAAAATACAATGTTTCTGTGAAAAGGCACAATAATAATTATAGTTTTAGGGTTCCATACCAAAAAAAAAAGAAAAATCTGAATAGAGGATTACTTATGTGTTCATCTATCTAAGACAGGCAAATTTTTATAACTACTGAACTGAATGAATAAAAATTTGGTAATAAAAGTTTGGGTTACCAACTTATAATAAAGTTGGTAACCCAAAGACAGCAATATCACATAAATAAAATGATTTGAAAGCTTCTTTGGAAAGGTAAATTCTGATAACTATTGTATATGATTTGATGTCACAAATCAAATGAGAGGGTATATTGTAAGAATCTCAAATAAACTTTTGATGTATTTTTGAAAATATATCCTTGCCCACAAAAAAATTGAAAGTCATTATATTTTCTTAAAAAAAAACTAAAATAGAATGTACTTTTATAGGTAGTTTAGTAATATTTGTGACAATAGAAAATTAATAATAGAAATTTATACAAAAAACTGTAAATAATACATAAAGACTATTAGTTGAATGTCAAGAAGCTTGTGAATGTATAAGATTTTCATCATAAAATAAATTTGAATGATTGTTACATCACATTACACAATAAACATTATGTCAATTTGAAAGCTGATAATAGCCCATAGACTAATTTTTCAGCATTTAAGTATATAAATGTTTAGAAGCCTTATAGAACGCTAACACATAATTTTAAAGTGACCAAAAGACAATGATATTCAAAGGCAAATAATACAGCTTATTATGTATATTTTGATTATGTATTGTAAAGAAAATACTTACCATTTAGGGACCAAATGTGTGAAGGCAAGGAGTGTGCGGCGTAGACCCTACCCAGGGCAAGGGAGGTACCAGGCGCTGGACCTGCCTCCTCATTAGAGCTGGAGTCTGTGTCAGGACTCGCAGCCGCTGACGCTTCGTAACTCTGCGAGTTCGCAGGAATCGCGATCGCCTCATGAGAAGCATGCAAATCTGGCACCGATGACAGAGAACGCGCGCGCTGCCGGTCACTAGAAACCTGTATTCCAGGTATTGCTCGTAGCAGACTAAACCCCGCCCCACCTGACACTACCTCTGAGCTAGAGCTCGTCGAAAATGTCCTCGTACGCGGACTCTGCCCCCCATTTGCGGTACTCGGTTTAGCACCCATAACGACTCGATGTTATGCAAAAATCACACCCGTCATACACAGAACTAATTCGATGAGGATCACGAGCACGAACGGAAGACTACATTCGCGGCGGTGGAACGCATCGTACGGAGCACTGAAAGCTGGGGCCTATTGCGCGAAAAACAACACTGCTAAACAACAAATACAAATATGTCGTATAACATTAAAATTGTAAACAGCGTTTTCATGCGCTGTCCTGCAAAATTTTGACAGTTCCCCCTTTTGTATGAAGTTAGCTGATTGACAGCACAGACTATAACTGAAATAATATTGCCAGACTATTCTTTGTTTCAAGGTCAGGGTCGGGGACGTAATTATCTAATTTCAAAATCTATCGCAATCCCTTTTAATTTGAAATATCGAAAATATTCACGCTACGACTTTTTAACATGTGAAGACTATTATGACTTTAAAAGTTCTAATTAAATAAATCGTTAAAAAGTCGCTATACCTTTGAAAGGGATTGTGAATTTGGGATAGATTTTAATATTAGACAATTAGCCCACAAATTCACTAGTTTTTAACGTCAATCCTTGAAACTGAATGGTAACTTTTTTATGAATTTGGAAACAGTTCCAGTGCCTTACACAGTAACCTTCATAATATTTCTCGAAGGCGGTAACTACAAATCCCAGGTTTTTAAACGCGTTTTATAGGTTTCCAGTAACTATCACTTCATAATATGGATTCGTAATATGAAACTTTCGGAATAAATAATTGTGTGACAAATTTTAAAATTAGGCAACTAAGGCTCTGGTGTCAAAAAGTTTTCATCATATAGGGTTGAACTTTTAATAAACTTAACTGATATCGATATCACACCTTACGTATTTATAATTAATGTAATAATGCCACAGGGAAACAATAACTTACAAACTTTACTGTTAAGTTCTTAGTTTTTAGTTTCTTTTATTTTTCTTTACTTATTTCATTGTTGAGAAGACACTGTTCATTAAGTTCAATTAAGAGTAGTTTAGGAGTCGAAACCCTCAACGCCTACTAGTCGCACCTAACAACAATATGCCTGGTATGTACAGATCACAGATATTTCAGTTTATTTAAAATTTACTCTATTTTGAGTTTAGAGATAATTTTAAATGAAATGTAAGTACATAAAAATGTATTTTGTTTGTGGGCGACTAGACCGGGCCTTAGAGAAAAGAAGATAATTGCAAAATATTGCAATATCAAATACAAAAATAATAAAAAAAATATATATTTCCGTCCTTTGTAGAATACATTTTGCTTTTCATTATAATTTAGTAGAATGAGCCATTTATTACAATCAGTGATGATAAAATGCCCGGGCATTTTGGGCGATTTTTCGCCCACTAAGCATTTATATATTTTAACAAAATTTGTTTGAAAATTAAACAAACGATCATCTAATTGACCCAGTTGTGTACTTGTAAGGCATTACATGGCATTTATAAATGGCATTTAAAATGTATTCATTCAATGTCCTTACATACAGTGCGTCGTAAGTCCCGTTAACTCATCTCAACTTATATCATTTGAATAGTTTGTAAAAATGGACTTAGGGTGCTTGTGCACTATACTGAATTTTCAGGTCCGGCGGTCTGATTTTTACCGGTCCGGAATGACATGAAAAACCCGGATGACTAGCTTGTGCACTTGTCCGTTTTTTACCTGATCGGAGCGGCGCAGTTTAGGGCAGCTCTCTTTGAAGCTACACGTCACTTACGCTAGATACGATGAAATTTTTGGAAAGTCGGTAATTGAAATGACTGGGTCATTTTACATAAACCATAATAAATCGAGGCAAGAAGAAAGCATTTTTTTACTATTAGCGGATGACTACTATCAGATGTATAAACTTATACCCTTACTAATTTAAGAACATCATTATTCACATACAATAGCTAACAATATCTGCGACATTAAAATAAAATGACTGATAATGTTCTAGTACTTGATGTTTAAATTTATAATCGTGCAATTTTTTTTTTAGTTTTGTAAAAACAACTTCAAGCGATCACAGAGATAGACCAATCGTTGGCGCCATTTAATAAACAATTGAAATTAGTGCCGTGTAAGCGGAGAATCAATATGCTAAATGAACTTTAAGGTGGCATTTAAATAAGCCATCGTATTGTTAGTTTTAAATGTCATGATTTAACTATAATTATTGTAAGATCAGTTGACTGTAATATATATAGGTGTAAAAACTTTTGGCCGCGATTTTATACGCGTGGTATAGTTTCTTTGAGCATTTCCATTTCCGTCTCTTTTTCGCAATAAAAGGTAGCCTACGTCCTTTCTCAAGGTTAAGTCTATTTCTGCATCAAATTTCATTAAGATGGGTTCAGTTGTTTATGCGTGGAAGCATACCAATACTTATTTATCTTACCTTAAATTATCGATACTTTTGATTTGATATTGATTTGGAATCGATACTTTTAATATGATTCTAGATTCTAGCAAAGCATAGATACTATAACCATACGATTATCAAATTAGAACTATATCGAGTTTGCCAAGGCATATGCAGTGATATTTACCAACTATATTAAATCAACATCCAAAATATCGAATTACATGATCTACAATCATAATCTATAATAAATATCGATTTTACATAAATTGATTATTTTTCCCAAGTGTACTCTCCACAGTCGCGGAGTACGGTCGCGGACACAGCAGTGCACAAGCGTAAACACATTTTTCATTGCCGCCATCACAGACCTGAAAAAACCGGACCAGAATAGAGAAAAGTAAAATTCCCGACGGTAAAATTCCCGACAGTGCACAGGCTAGCATTATCTGTATATGGCCTGACATATCGGACGGGAAAAAACCGGACCGCCGGACCTGAAAATTCAGTTTAGTGCACAAGCGCCTTTAGAGCGTTCTTAAAAAGTAGATACTTAGGTAAAAAAACAAGAAAACAAGTTTTCTGTGTTGTAAAATTTCTTTAAAATTTAGAATATTTATAAATAGTAACACTCAGAATAGAATCAGGTGAGACGAGAAGAAGGATACTGCACGATGATGTAACTTTGTAATATTTAGAGTTTTATTAAATTCGGTGTCAGCTTAGTGCATTGATCACACATGCCATATTTTATAGTGAGGATTTATTTTATTTTGTCCATTGGTTTGCATTAATTTTTCCTCTACGTACTTCATTTATAGGAAATCTTTTGAATTAAATACAAAATAAATACACTTCACAAATATATACTGCACTAGCAAATGCGGTGGGAATAGATAAGTTATCATTATAATTGTTCAATTTTGCATTCACAATATTATATTGGAAAATATTCTTAAGTGGATTTTTAAGCATTGTTCATTAAGAATCATTCGTTAACAATAAGAACACTTAATGTTTAGAGAACTTTAAATAATGGATGATTGTGAGTAAAATAGCAATTGTTAGTTAGGCAAAGCTTGGTTCTATTTGTGGCTAGCATTAATAGAGTTTGGCAAGCGAAACGTGACACCACCTATTTTTCCGTTTTCATATGGCAACAACATAGAACTGTCAGTTTGACACTACGTTAGACAATTCAAGAATATTGAATTTTGTTGTTTTTGCGAATTTGAACTTGTGTTTTTGGTTAAAAATTATGTCGAAGCCGATAAAAAGTTCATCGAGGAAACTTCTTTCCATCATGATTGACAAGTTTACTGAAGTGAAAACTGAATTAAATAAAAATTTCATGGAGAAATTACAACGATTAGATAAAGTTGTATCTTTTTTAGGTTAGTTTTGTATTATAATTTTGATACTTTCGTTTTAATTTTCTGTAATTAACTAAACAGATATTTTTTATAAAATATTGCTCTATTTCAGATAACTGTGATGGTGATATTCAACCAATAATGGAGGAGATAAATGCAATAAAAACTTTAGAAAAACAAGAAATGCTGAATTCGGAAACGCAGTACTTACAAAAAATTTCTTCAATGACAGGTCTCTTTTCTTGTTTTGATTTAAGATAGATTGATAGTATTCCTATAATATTTACATAGGTTTTTTATGATGTATTGGTTTTTATTGTTGACATCCAATGATGTCATAAGAATGTTTTGTTTAACAAGGAAATTCACAGAATTCATGAAACTAATCAAACCATGTAATTGTTATACATGCTAAATATGCACATAAACTTAACTAAATTAAACATAAATTGCATTCATAGTTGAATAGGTATTTAAATTATTTTGATGTATGTGTCTATCATTATTTGCTTTTAAATACATTTAACATATCTTTGTTTCAAAGTGTTTAATCTTTTATAGATGTAAGTATAAGGACACTAAGAAGGATAAAAAATGAAGCATTAATTAATAAAGGAAAATGGGACACTCCTGGGAAAAAACGACCTCATCAACCAACAGTGTCTGCTTTAGATAATTTTGATTTAAGTGCAATTCGGAATAAAGTAAATGAATTTTACTGTGTGAAAAAAATTGTTCCAACATTAAGAAGCCTTCACAATGAATTAAAAGATGCAATAGGATTCAGTGGTAGCCGTGAGACTTTACGAAAAATTATGCTTAAGAATGGATTTTCTTTTAAAAGCAATGAAAATGAACGTTCTATGCTTATAGAAAAATACCAGATTTCTGCATGGAGGCACAAGTATTTGAGAGAAATAAATATAAAACGAAACGAAGGAAAGCAAATTGTGTACCTTGATGAAACTTATGTACATCAGAATTATAAAGTTAAAAAGTCTTGGCAAGGACCTTCAACAACTGGTGTCACTACAAAGATATCCTCTGGAAAACGGCATATTGTTGTGCATGCTGGATCTGAGGAAGGTTTTGTGCCTGGTGCATTATTAGTGTTCAGTAGTAAATCCAAATCTGCTGATTATCATGATGATATGAACTCATCGAACTTTATGAAATGGGTCAGAGAAAAATTAATACCAAATTTAAGTAAGCCCAGTGTAATTGTTATGGATAATGCCAGCTACCATATAAAACAAATCAATAAACCGCCTATAATGTCTAATACCAAAGCAGATATCCGTAAATGGCTTGTAAATAATGGAATACATTTTGAGGAATATCAGACAAAGGCAGAGTTAATGTGTTTGGTTAATGATAAGAAAACATTGCCTGTATATGAAGCTGAAGAGATTTTAAAAGAACATAATCATGAACTTTTATTGCTGCCACCGTATCATTGTGACTTAAACCCAATAGAGATGGTTTGGAGTCAAGCAAAAAGAAAAATTGCAAGCAGAAACATTGGAATACCAGGAAAGGAAATGGAAAACTTAATAATAGAGTGTTTTAACTTAATTACCCCTAGTGACTGGAAGAAATACACTGATCATGTTTTAAATGTCGAAAATGATTACAAATTAAAAGATGGCATTGTTGAAAACGAACTTGAAAAATTTATTATATCTGTTGGTGCAGACAGTAGTGAAGAGAGTGACTCTGATGATTCCTTGTCATTGTTATCAGGTGTAGAATATTTAGAAACAGATTTTGACTATGAATCAGACTAAAGTATTTTTAGTCTGATTCATAGTCAAAATCTTATCTTAAATTTTCTATTGTGATTAACATGATGATTTTGTGACACCTGTATTATGTAATTTATCCATGGCACTTAATTGTAACAAAAATAAATGTTTTTTTTATTGTAATCTGGTGTTTATATTGACTAATTTAATTTGATAGATAGTGGTTCTGGATCAGAGCAAAAGGTTGTGATGAAAATCCCTTAGGAGACATGTATGTGTTATGAACACATTATAAATATAAGGGCCAGAAATCAAAATTGGCTAACATCACATTTATTAAAAAAATGTGGCCAGAGTCGCCCATATTCATTACAAAAAAACAAAGAAGTCGTTGCAAAAAACACCCTTTTAATTAATGACAAATATGAATTTTTAATATTATAAGTGCTGTTAGCCAATAGGTATAACGAATGGGTTAAAAAAAAGATTCGATTTAGTCCGTCAGTCAGATAATAGAAAAATATTGGATACGTATTTTTTTTCGCTTTAATTTAACAACAAATGGCTTAAGAGGTACTATGCGACGACTTCAAATATGCTTTGCAACAATGTTACTTTAATACAGTTTATCGATACGAAATCAAGTGTCAAAATGGAGTCCAGTGGAGAATGCCGATATTGACATTTCGAAATTGCTCATCATTGATAGAGAATACGAAATAGTGATTTTGACACAATCAAAGTGTCTATTTTTTACGGTGATGACGATTCTTGGTTGTCAGTTGAGTTAGTGAATAGGCCTACTGATATGCTGTTAACTGTACAATTAAGAACAGTCACGCTTTAGTCAAATGTTCCAAAACAAATAATTTTAATTGATATCTAAATGTTAAGATTAAATATAATTAATAAAAGTATCAAAATTATTTTGCAGTACTACATTCAGTGTTTACTGCTTAAGAATTTTTGAAATTGCCGCCCTTTTCTTGTGACACGTTTCGCTTGCCAGACTCTATCTTTTCTTTTAATGTTTTCCAAATATTTTTTTAATCAAAATTATTAATGTATCGACATTGATATGATACATTACATCACTAGTTTTCAATATACAATAAACTCTATGTTTAAGAGAAAAAATAACGACAAAGAATAGTCAAAGAAACTAACTTATTTCCTAAACTCTTTAAATAGGTTATTAGGTTCTTCTTCTTCTTTTATTAATGGCTTATCTGCACTGTAAATGTATTACTTTATAAGAACCTAGAGTAGTTATGCTGTCTTAAAAATCTCTTCATTGATTTATACGAACAAACGTTCACTGAAATATATGAGTCAAGCTTTTCAACGGGTGCATCCAGTGGGGTTGAGTCTGCACTGGACTATTTAATTTCCTTCATTTTCTTTTATTATTAATATATTATATTAATTTATCAATGAGTATGTAGGATTTCTGATATTGTAACATTCCAATAAGATTTGTTTGTGTGAGATAAAACAGGAATAAAAAAGCAGCCCTTGCTGAGTTTCTTGCCGGTTCTTCTCAGTAAAAGATCTCCGGCCTTAGTTTTGCGAACCGTTGGCAAAGTTTTCGACTTTCGCAAGTACTAAGTAATAGTCTAGACTCAAAAGATTTTGATATTTATATTAATATAATATGACGTGTAGATGCATAATGGCACATATGGAAATACTTCACATAAAAAACAAGCTGCATTCTGCACTCCGCTTTTGTTCTTGATTCCAAACCTGAATTCGGATTAATCAAGTCAATTGAAGTTACGAGCAACCAATAAGTTGGTTCATCACTAATGTTCCTTTACACGTAACATTATAAATAACTCAAACTTAGGATTCAAATAAATTGAAAATAATTTGAAAGTTAGATATTATAAGAAACAAGAAACAATTTACTTTTATTACGTAAAAAACAAAATTTGAATTAATATCATAGGCAATATCTAAACATCGCTAGTGACATCTAGTATGATTTCAAGAACTTATTATTATTTTTAAATTCTTCCTCATTTCCCTAATACATACTTTAACTCTTTGGTGTGATCTCGGTAAAAACTCCGTCCCAAGCAGCTTCAGTTAGATTCTTTTGCTTAATAAGCAGCTTGTTTCTGTAAAATCCTATAAATATCTACTCTTTTACAACTATGGTGTAGATGTCTCAAAATAAAATAATGAGATAAACCAAAATTATGTCTAAAAACCTAAATCCCTTTGCTTAAAAGCAATAATAAAAACTTAAAAAAGTCAATCTTATAAATGTCAAAACGTCATTTTTGGTGATTTGTTGATAATCATTTAAACAATATTAAATAATAAAATAATAACACATATTATATGCATGTAGTAATTATACACTAACTCACAAACAATGAGTAATCCAGTTATGAACTCTGCCACAGTAAGTAAAGTCGTAAAATTTACAAAATAATACAACCATCATAATGCCTTTTGATAAAAAAAGCATGCCTTTTGATAAAAAAAGCTTAAAATGCAGCATAAATAGTAAAAAAAAACCCTATAACATATCGTATTTAATTGTCTGCATCATCGTTAGCTAAAAATCATTTCGTTAAAGTTATGATTATTAAACCAGCATGTTTGGGATCGTAAAACATTCTCAAATACTTCGTCAATATTTACGTATATTAACTCATATTAGAAATAATAAGTGAGTACGATATTCAACGTTGACAAAACAGTTTTACATATTCAACTTAGCAGTTATTGGTAACACATAAGAAAGAGTTGCAGAATAAAAAAAATAGTATTTTAATACTCTTTTTAAGACTTCTGTTGTGCTGTCTACTTTTAAAAAAAGTTGTGATTAACATTTGATAATTGTAGTAGATATCATACAGAAAAGTAAAAATATAAAAAGGTCATAATTAAATTTAGATTTTGCCTTAAACAAGAGAGAAATAAACCTCATATCTATTATTGAACAAGATGTAGCTTGATTTGTAACCAGTGTGTACATGTTGGCAATAGAGTTTTGTGTTATTTGGCATTTTTATCTTGTTATTGTGTAGTTATAACTCTTATTTAAACAGCTTATTATATTAATCAAACAATTTTTATTATATATTTATTACATAGTTATACATGATATATATCTAAAAAAATAGGTTCAACTTTAATATAGGTGATTATGCAGATTAAGTTGCTTTTTTTTCATACACATGGCTGCTAAAGAGATTAATTTTCCAAACTGAAAAAGGTGCAGATTTTGTTAGTTTGAAAATACATAATATTGAACTACTGTTTGAAGCTCTATCAATTTCCCCTAATAATTTTGTCTTTCTAGTCAAAGGGCATACAACAAAATTTTGAGATTGTTGTAAGAAGGGCGTGACGTCACGCGCTGTTTGCGTTCACGTGACAAAGGGCGTAAAATATTAGATTAAGCAATATTATAAATATAATAATCATAAAAGTGTGATTATTGGTATTTAATAAAACACTACCAGAAAAAAAAATATTTATTTTTGTTTAAATGTCTACACCCTTATTTAAAATATAATATAAACAAACTAATAATAAAAACTAGTATTATCATGTGTTCATAATTAGTTCCATTTGCTTTGCACGGCTTGGCCTGTAGATGTATTACTGCATTACTTACAGCCAGGTGTGCCTCAGGTGCCGCTGCTGGATGACGACACCATCGCATTTGGGGAGGAAGATAATGCTACCAAACAATATGTGTAAGTAACCTTTGCATCAGTTATATGAAACTGAATTGGACAGTATGATTTATTTTCATAAATGAATTTTATAATTTAATTTCTCAATGGATTTGGGGTCTGGTGGGGTAAAATGTAGAGAACAAGCTTCTGTATTATCTCTACAGGTAGTTCTGGTTATATTGCAATTTACAATACCTATATGTGATGGTAGTAGCCAGCATAGAATAGGGAATATGCATATTTTTGGAAAATGTTTTTATATGATAATTTATAAAAGTATCCGGCACCAAAAAAATAAAATTTTGTAACATTAATAATTGATGAAAATAAGTAATAGCTACGAGTAGTTAAAAACACAAGAATTTTTGGTGCTCTTGTCGTGAAGTCAAAGTACTTGACTAGAGATATTACATTTTAAATTAATATGGAGTTTGAGTGATTGATTATTATTCAATTACCTAAATCGATTAACAACTAATCGATGTATTTAAAGTATAATAGACTTTTTTAATAAATCATATAGTTTACCAAATTGATGAAATGAAAATAAAAGCCTACGACATCAAAATTGTAATCTGTTGTTTATTTTGCTACATAATATATTGATGTTATTGCATCGATGTCAACTTTTTGTAACAACGACATCCCTATACGTGTACATTTTTGTCACATCCGCTCTGACAAGTAGCATGGCGTTGGAATATTTTGAAGTTACCGTATTTTTTTTGCACTTTTTAATAATTATTTTTAAGACGAAAACGAGTTTATGTTAAAAAAATATTAACATAGACTATTCTAAAGCAATAATGATTGTAATAAAGTATATTTAACCCTTTTTTTGAATCAGATGCACATTCCTTATTGTAAAATATAAAACTATGTTCGGTTCTACTTTTTATTGCAATTATGCATTATCACTGCTGTTTGGCAAGCAACAAGGGTTTTGGGGGTCTCCCCTGGCAGTGCTTTCAATATAGATACAATACCTACAAAAACATAGACCCCCATGTTGACTTACAGTACATATTGTAATATGTACCCCTATCTCACTGCCTGTGGGCTTTAATATAATATCTATGTTATGGAATAAGCTAGTGATTATTGTCTGTATGTGTTCTAGGCACCCATACATCGTTTTCTTCCACCTGGTGTTCCGTTGTTCCGCTATCGCAGTGTACATGTTGTGCGGTTGGTTTTCGGATTCATTTATCGCCAGCTTTGTAATGGTTGTGCTACTGCTCTCTGCTGATTTTTGGACTGTTAAAAATATAACTGGTAAGTTTTTAAGTCCTATTTGTGACTGGTTTGTTAATCATTGTTATAACCTAAAAGAAAACTTAAATCATGCGCAATTTTGATGTCGGCTTGTAGAAACGCCAGTTTTATTGAAGAAGAAGAACCTAAAAGAAAATATGTAGTTTTTATAGATAGACACCTAGATACCTAGGTCTGATATTGGTCATAGAAAATTTATAGAAAAAGGAAAAGAACAAACCTAAACCTCATTTTTCAACTGCCTGACCATTCTCTTCACACAATAGGTTTGGTTGTGAACAAAGATTACAATATTATACTGGTAATAGATAGCAAACTCAAACTTTAAATAGGTCACGATTACAGCGTCATCTATCCGCCAGCTAAAAAAAGTCACGCGTATGTGTGCGTGTATATGTGTGTCTAGCTACACACATACACGCACACATACGGCCAGGTTTATTTGATCAGTGTTTTTTTTTTATAAGATAAATAGGTATATTTTTTCTTTTATATAGATTGATTCTAAAAATGTTTAATAGTTATTATTCATTTTGAGAATCAATACATATATAAAAAAAGCAAATGTACCTTTATAACTTATCGAAAAAAAAACACTTGGCTAATTAAACCTTAAATATAAAACATAATGTAAGACCGCAGATTATTTTTCGTTTTATTTGCTATGATTAAACAAGTATATCAGGAGTCATATTTATATGGTTTATGTTCAATGCTAACTATTATAAATGTTTAGAGCGAGTAAAATAAATCAATTAGTTTATTTCAATGAAAGACTTGTTATTTTTGTAGCTTTATTAACCATCTTATTTCAGACATTCATCAGTGATCCACACACAGTTTTCTCTTCCTATCTTTATTTTTTGAAAAATGGTTATGAGCCTTTACCTTCATTTCATCATTTCTATCCCAAAATGAATTTTGCCATTGATTAAATGATTGATATTTTTGCACCAATTATTAATAAAAAATACTGCACATTTCTCTGTTATGAATTCTTTTAGTTGAATTTGGTGTTCTGTGCATTGTAAAAAATTTAAATCTAAATTAATCTTTATGATTAACTTTATATATGTCAAAATATATTTTTTTTATTGCAATTTTCTTTTAAAACTTCTATTGTTTTCAGTATTGATAACATAGTCAAATAGGTTTCGGGTAGGATAGCACAACCAGTTTTTGTTTTCAAACTCTTTTAAAATTATATAAGTATGAAATATCTGCTTTTCTTTAGCTTTTATGTTGTTTTTACATAATAAACAGCTTATATAAAAAATTTTCTTTGCTAATTGTGCTATCCAGCCACTACAGTATCCAATTTTTCTACTTATTAAACTTTCTGTATTCATTAAATCAATGCATAAATGAGCATTTTCAATTTCAACTTCACATTCAGTGGGTATATCATCTACGTCTTTAGTCAATAGTTCTTTTAGTGTTTGCAGACAAACGCTATCATCCATTTCGCAATTTGATCCCACTGAATGTGAAGAAGAAATATTGTCAATATGCAATGTTTTAAAGGCCCCCTCAAAAGATTGTGATGTAGGCATCGTATTGCTGCAGGCATGAGCCTTTATTGCCCCAAAAAATTTCTCCAATGCGTCTTGGTTGAAATTTCATAGCAATAATGAATTTATGCCTTTTGAATTCAAATAAATTAAAATTCTTTTGAAGTTTTCTACTGTTTTTATCCAGCTGGACAACGATGGAACTATCCCATGATTAATTCCATTATGAAACCTCATGCTCCTTAAAACTGGAAGGGTTTTGTTCCATAATTTTTGATGAGGCGATGTTGGTGTCACTGCTGTCCTATACATTTTCCCCCCTTTTGGTTTGCTAAAGCTGCCATTGACACTGTCGAATAAGTCATCAAAAAACATCAACAGGTCTGCAGTTTCAGTGCATTCTTTTTCAAGAACTCCAAACTCTGCAATGAAAATATAATGTTTGTTTAGGTTTGTAATGGAAAATATAAGTTTTTAGTTTATAGTATGTATGTACTATGTATACCAGAAAAAAATTCTATAATAAATCTGCTCTCAAAAATATAATAAAACATATGGACTCTACAATTTCATAATAATAATAATCATCATCATCATCAGCCCTTTTACGTCCCCACTGCAGGGGCTCAGGCTTTCCTTGTGGATGGTTAAGGAGGATGGGCCATGACCCTCCACGCTGACCCAATGCGGATTGGAGTGAATAGACGACTGTAAATGCAGCCGGGACCAACGGCTTAACGTGCCTTCCGAAGCATGGAGTAGCTCGAGATAATAATTTTTTGGTCACCCATCCCATGACCGACCCTTGCGAAAGTTGCTTAACGACAACGATCGCGGGCCGCGGCGCTTATCTACTACGCCACCAAGCTATTCTCATAATAATATTAAAAAATATCACCTGTCATTACTCCAATAGCAGCTCCAACAGTTTTACTTAACACCTAAGTGCAGTGTTTCACTCTCATTTTTAGTAATAATGATGGCACTACATGATGAGCTGTCAACTTAGGTGCCATCTTCACTCCTTTGTAGCCTGGGCATCTTTCATATAATTGTAGAATGTGATTCCACTTAGCAGTACATTCCTTTCCATTCATGTTATATTTTAAATTTTTTGTTAACAAATTATACCTGATCCCTTTTATTAAATGAGGTGGGTCATAGAGTGAAAATACTTTTTGTCTCCAACTTCAAAAAATCCTTCTGTATAGTGCTGCCCTCTTCTCAAATACATTTCGTTAATCTCTTTTGACAACAAGTTTATAGCAGCAATATTTGATGTAGTTTGGTCACATACTGCTGCTACCACCATAAGACCAGTTTCTGCAATTTTAATAATCATATTCTTTATTAAAGCTTTAAGTTCCAAAGCTTTAAGCTTTAAGTTCTTGTACTGCCACTGCAAAAATAATAGGCCAGTGGCTGTTTATATTTTTTAACAATGCCTCTAATTAAGAAAACAAGTACATGGTTACTGTACTATTTGCTTCATTGCTCCATTATCAACAAATCCTGTGATAATTTTTTTTTTTATTAAAGCTGATGCTTTAATACCAATAATAAATACCACCAATAAATGGCAATAGCACCATTGCCATTTCATCAAATACCAAGGTGCAGTATTTAAATTTATCTGGCATTCTCCTAACTCTGGATTTTAGGTTGTCAAATAAAATTTCATTTATGCCTGCCTTTAACTGGACTTTATACAACAAAGTCTGCAATGTTGGTCTACTAGGTAAAATACAAAATTTTCTTAACAGACGATACGCCTTAGGTGCAGGTTTGTATAATGATAGCGCTACAATCTTTTCATCAATGGTAAATCGATGCCCATGCTTTTTCTTATTTCCATGTAACATTTGCATTCGGCAAAATAATTTTGCAGTAGGTGACATATTTTTGGAAATTATTTGGAAAGCAGAGGTTTTCATTAAAGATTTAGCACGAGCCAATTTTTGTTTAAAGCTCCTTTTTTGAGCTTCTCATTTTTTCAATTTATTCACAATTATTTTATATTGTTTATGGTCTTCTAGAGAAACACCTGCAACAAATTTCATGAAATGTAAATTAAAACCTCAAAAATAAATAGTTTCTTTTTTTGCATTACACACTGTACAAAAATATTCAGTTTTGTAATAAAATCATCTAGACTATGTCTTTTTTCAGATTTGCTGATTGTTTCCAATTTCATGCAGCAATTTTCAAATTGGATAATTGAGATATATTTTTGCAAAACATACCTTTTAATTTTCTTGGCAACTGTTGTTTGGCAACAGGTGTTTGTGTCTTTCCAAGGTTTGTATGCTGACCTGGAAATAATAACAAATAAAGTTATTTCGTGGATATCATTGGCTTATCAGTCTCTGGCTCAAAATATTAAAGATTGGCCTATGTTACAGAACATAGATTTGCAATTTTGAACAAAGGGACATTCAATTTTTGTATAACTATATGTTGACTCATGAATTTTCCTTTATATAAAAAATAATATTATATTTAAGATGATTATTTAACTATTTTAATTTTCATCAGAAAAACGTTTACCAACCTGATGTGCTGGCATGTAGTTGAGAAGGTACAAAATGTGAGCTACATGGCAAATCCGCACTTGCAACTATGTAAGGTTCTCCAGTTGATTGCGCTGAACATGAAGAAAAAAACATTTTATAATATTTTATTTTATAATAAACATTAAAAATTAACATGGAAATTAGGAGCATTATTTGAACAATGGTATAAGAAACTAGCTTTCGCCCACAAGGTCTTATATTGTACATATAAACCTTCCTCTTGTACCACTCTATATATTGATGAAAACCACATTAAAATACATAATGTTTTTTATAAGAACTCAGCTTATAGAAAACGTATTTGTTTTCTACTATTTCATTTTTACTTTAAACTTTTTATAGTTTGAAAAATTATTCACTGGTCATTGTTAATCACATATGAATGAATTTTAATGCATAGCCTGCTGCTTCCATCTTTAAATAGATAGGTAGACATTCAATATGCAGTATTATTTATAAATAATAAATTACCTGACATATGAAGTGTAGGCATTGCTATGTTGCAGTCTATTATTGGGATATTTATAAATAGATAGAAAATGTTTTCCACAAATATGCATGTTATTATATATTTTGATTGGATCCAGAGTTATTTCTCCACCAACATTGTCTAGCCATTTTTTAAATTTCTCTGTTTTAGTTCTAGGTTCAGGAAACCGGTGCAAAGGGATACCTGAGTAACATAATAATATGTATTATTCTCTGCTATTCACACAACAAATTATTAGTCCTTAATTATTTGTATAATGGATGAACAAATAACAATTCTTAAATTGTAGGCACATAATAAGTTTTTTAATGAATATTGTATTCTACGATAGCTCAAAGAAAAATACCTGAAAAACATTTGAATTATGAAACTCCACGTATAGGTATAAAAATCGGTTGAAAACTTTGTCATTATAGTACAATTCATAAAGTATTTATTGTACAAACTAAAAAGCACTTACCGCTATCCTTAGTCACTGAACATTAAAGTACACAACAACGGTTTTGAGCCATGATTTTTTGAGCAAAGTTCAAATTAAAAACAAGTAACATTTCGGTACGGGATATTTCAAGACACAATACGATTGCTAACACAATATATTTCGATTACACGGACGAACTTAATCAACTCAACGTGAAAAGCAGAAAAAGTTACAGGAACTTGCAAAAACTAACAAGCACACGGACATTCACTCAATACATTTTCAATTTGCGAAGTTAGTTTTAAAGTTTACCCACAATACCAAACCATTACATACGCGCCATTTTCAATTGATATTGCCATAGTATATTTAATATTACCACTTAAATTAGAAACATTTCTAGTGACAATTCTATAATTACTATATTATTCTGTAACAAGATATATTATTTCAATAATATTAAGTATCATAAGGCTTTTTAACTAAGTTTCAAGTAATAATAAACAAGATTTATTAATGATGCCTTTAAAAATTATCCCCAATTATAAACACATTTATTTATTGTGGCTACACCATGATTTCTATTTTAAAAGCTGGTACATAGATGGCACTGTAAAGTAAAAAAAATCGAGTTCTAAGTTTGCATAGCATGGTTGTGAAAATAAGTTTTTTTTTATATTTTTATTTCATAGTCAATCGTTAGATGGCACTGTTCCTGACATCTTTCAATCGACTACTCTATGGTCCGTTTTGTATACATATCAGAATGACGTCATGAATATGGCGGACAGCGTTATCGCGGTTATAATAAAAGTTTAAAATTTGATTTAATTTTAAGGTGTTGTTAATTTAAAGAAAACATGTTTATTTTTCCGAATTATTTGTTGTATGGTTTTTTATTAATAAAAATAAACACTAGTACTTTTTCAAATAGAGCAGAATACCGTATTTAATATAGAAAAAAAAAACAGCTTTATTTAGAGAAGATATGATTTTAGACGGGTGTTACATTATAATTGAGAAAACATATATTTTTCAGGGAGATTGTTAGTGGGACTCAGGTGGTGGAATTACGTGGATGATGATGGGAAATCACATTGGGTCTTCGAATGTAAACAGGTCTGTAATAAATATTTCAATACTAGCTACTCGCCCCTGATTCACTCGGGTAGTGTACGTATTTATTGAAATAAAAATACGTCTTCCATTACAATTTCTTGTAATGATTGTGACGAAATCTATAAAGTATACAAATATTATGTACTTAATTTTCTGCAGACTACCTGAAGTTACAGACAGAATACACACATTTTGAAAATTCGTTTTTTATTGATATAAATAAACGGAAACTTTATAAATCTTATGAAAAATGCTTAAAAATCTACTTTGTCCCTGGCACTCTCAGTGGCACGCACAACCTATAATAAAGAATGTTTTTTTTTCCATAAATTTCCAAATTCCTGCCTTGAATGTTTAGCAAAATCATGTACCTAAATCAAATCACAGAGAAAGTGTTATGTTTGCAGAGTCGTGTGAACCGCAACGAGAGCAGGTTGTTCTGGTTGGGGCTGGTGATGTGTCCGCTGGTGTGGAGCGGGTTCTTCATCATCTGCCTGTTCGGGTTCAAGTTCGAGTGGCTGGTAAGTGCGATCATTGTTCAGTGTGTTTTTAGATTTGAAGAAAACCACTACTGTGGCATTGAAAACTTTATTTTCACCTTAAATTGCAGAGGGACTAGAACAGAAAACGTTGTACAAAGCAGTTATTTTAAATGTTGGGTTTTTGTGTGTCCAGCTGCTGGTGTGCATAGCGCTGACATTGTCCGGTGCTAACCTGTACGGGTACCTGAAGTGCAAGTTGGGTTCCCGTGGGAACCTGCAGGCAGCGACCACACAGTTCGTGCGCACACAGATCCTCAACAACGCATCCGCGCTGTTCCAGCAGTCGCCCCGCCCCGCCACTACTACCAATACTAACGTTATATAAAACCACTCAAAAAATATAACTTTTTTATTTGCCGTAACTTTTCGTAAACCCGGTGTCGGCTTTAGCTGAACGAGCCCTCTAGGACATAGACAAATTGTCGAATTAATTTAACCTGCCGAAAGATTTTTTTTTACGAATACTTCTAGTATTTGTACAAAAAATTTCATTTTTCTTTCGATTAAAATGAAAATGTGTTCTGGTTATTATAAAAAAAATAATATCACTGTATTGAAATGCAAAATTCTATTACGTCAATATTCTCTAGGATTAAAATATCACAATTGATATTGCATTCCCGATGCTATATTGATATTTATATATATTGTAGTAAATACGTATAAACTCTTAAAAAAGATTTTGAATTTTTTACGTATTTTTCTATAAAATAAAAATCTATCTAAGGGTTTTGTTATCTAGATATAACTACATTTCCGCTTGCAGCTTCGCCCGCATGATCCTGTATTATACATATAAACCTTCATCTTTAATAACACTGTATATTGATAAAATCCACAGGTGTAGTTTAAAAGATTTCCGCGTACATACAGCGAGATGCACCTTTGTTTTATACTATATAAATTGAGAATTGGCCCATGTGACATTGACAAATTAAAACCGAATAAATACTGTAAGAGTTGACTGAAGGCTGAGGCTCGTCGGCTACGTTCTTTATAATATTATATGTTAAATTTTCCCAATTGATTTTCAGTGAAGAAATTAGGAAATATTCAGATTTGTATAAACTGACATGCTTGACTGTAATATTGTGTAAATAATTTAAACTCTGAGTATAGCAAAATAAATCAGCTTAAGTTTTCTTTAATTTAGCCAAAAACGGCTCCAATATATAAAAAAAAGTAACCAATAGACAACAGGTACACATTATTAGAATTTATATCAACAATTTTACAATTTATATATATATACGAATTAATAAAAATAATAATACAATGTTACATTCCAATTTGTGTATTTAATTCACACAATTTTTTAAGATTCAAAAGAAAGAAGCGCACTTAAAAACATAAGTATTTGTGCTTTAATACATTTATAAGATAAAATAAAACATGTCTATAGAATTTTCAACATGACAAAGGAAGCAAGGAATAGTCGTAACTACTCGATGTCTGTCACTCGATACATCTTTCATAAAAGCAAATAATGTTACGAAATTCGTGTGATCCCAGCGCATGGTCATGAGTGTCCAATAATTCACTTAAAACATTTTCCATTGTAAATCAAAAGTTGAACTACTGTTTTGAAGTCAAAGGTTATTAAAAAAAAAATCTCTTCACCAAGCCAAACATATGCAAATGAATGAGAAATTATATTATACTAAATGACTCGATGTACTTCGTATTACCTCTTATCATAAACGATAACGGCTGGTCTACGATAAACCAAGATAGGCTAAATCGGCCTATCTTTATAAAAAATTTCATCAAAATCCGTTTAGTAGTTTCAGCGTGATTGACGGACAAACATCCAACCAAAAAACTTTCACATTTATAATATTAGTAGGATTAATTAGTAATTTAAAACATATTATCTATTTTCCTCAATGTGATATTTGCTCCTTTTCATTTTCTTAGTTTAGTAAAATACACCTATTAATTATGTCATTGTTATTTACATGTTTTAATATGTGTAATTTAATTATGTACTTAGGCATTTTAAATTATTTAATTTTAAGACTGTGAATAAATGGTTTTTAAAAAATTGTAAAAAAACTTTATATATAAAATTTAAGACTTATGAAATCGGGTTTTCTTTCGATACCAATATCCAAAGTAGCAGATAAAATTATGAGGGCATATTCTATTTGTCCTCGAACGAAAATTCGCAAAATTGTTCGCTCGTTGATTCATAATTTTGTTAAAGTCATGTATCCGTGAAGATACACCTGTACATCTTTTTATTCTTACTTACTTCTTACGTATTTTTTGAATAACATTAATTATCGATAATTTCGTTTTCGAAGAAATAGAGTAGGCCTTCAGTTGTCATGTTAATTCTTACGATAGTACACAGTTATATGTATAAACCTAAATTAGTTAATAATTGCATTTTTCAGCAAAAAAATTTTTTTTCTTGATTCATCTTTAACTAAACGGAGTTTGTTAAAGTTTATAAATTTGGTGGAAATCATATTGAATAATAAAAAAAATATGCTCCAGGTGAGGCTCGAACTCACAACCCCGGCATTACTCACACGTACACTGTCTTATAAGTACCGTGCGCTAACCAATTGCGCCACTGGAGCTCTGAATTGAGTGATGAAAATAACAATTCCGCTTTACGCTACCATCACAGTCAATAGAAGCTCTTTTTAGTGATGATAACAAACGTCAAAATATCTTTCGTTCCGTGTTGATTTCACGTAAATTCGATCGAAGTGGATTATTAAAAATAATAAAAATACATGTGGCTGTTGGTTTGGAATTATTATTAATTTGGAAACGAAATTATTATTTGTTGTGTTTCTTCGATTGACAGACGACAGAAATTGAAAAATATAAACAAAATGGAAACGTCATCTGCCCTGTATTGTGATTCCTGAAAACGTTAGTTATTGTGTTTCTCGTTTATTAGTCAAAAATTTCACTTTATTCTATGTTCTAAATTCTGACTTACAATCAAGATTTTCTAATATGACCTCAAAATGAATTGGTTCGATACGTCAGGTTTGACGAGCTTAGCCAAGACTGCATTGAAGGAAGCACAAAAAACGATCGACAAGGCTCTGGACATTCAAGACGACAGCAGCGAGGAACGGGAAGATGAGTCCCCTACTCAAAGTAAGGCTAAAATTTCACCTAGCCCTAGTAATACGCCCCATAATGATAACACAGATTTCTTCTCTTCTTGGGGCTTGTCAGTTAGTGCTGAGAGTTCCAAAGATAAAACAACTAATGAACGACATGTGGTCACCGAGAGCCCTTCTAAGTCCTCTTCTCAAAGCATGTGGGGCTCTTTTGCAGGGTCTTTTTTTGAACAACCATTAAGTTCAGATATTGACTCGGCCATAGTTAGGCCACCTAAGGCTAAATCTATGAACGTTATATCTGATGTTAAATATGGGAGTCAGGATGAATTATTTTCAAAGAGTCAACTTGTTATGTCAGATAATACTGAAGAATTCAAAGTGATAAAAACAAAAGAGGAAATACCAAAGTTTGAAGAAAGGAGAGGGTCATCAAGGTCAAACAGATTATCACTGGTTTCAAGCAGAAATAGTTCTGATTCTGTAGAAGTACTATCACAGAGCTTGAAAACAACTCCAGACTCTGAAGCTGCATCTGGACAGTCTATGTCACATAGCAGTAGTATTGGTCAAAAAATTAACTCCGAGTCTGTTGAGATACTGCCTGACAGTCTTGTTAGTCCTAGCTCAATTGAGTGCCTTGGCTTTGATAGTTTTTCAAGTGATAAAAATAGTAGTACTCCGTCATCTAACCTTTCACCTTGTGATTTAAGTGACAAAAAGTCTACTCCAGTTGGAGATAGAACAGAGAGGGTGGATACAGCAGATAGTGTCAGTTTAGTAGCTGATGATGATGAAGACACTATGTCATACAACTCTATTTCTGAATGTACTGCCCCAACTGTATTGGACACAGATGATAAGTCTGCTAGTCCTTTTCCTAAGACATTCAGAGGAGAAAGTCGAAAAGTAATTGATAAAGACTTTATTCATTTAGAACAGCCAGTATTGACTCCGAGAATGCAGATCAGTGAGAATTCCTCAAATGATGGGTCTTGGTCAGATAGAACATTGAATGCTGACAATGATAGTGTTAATTTAGAACCTGCTAGTGGAGAACCAAAGAAAGAAATGGAGCCAGAAGATATTTTGATTGAGAGATTGAGTGACTCTTCATCATTTTACAATGTGAATGTTACAGGAGAAATGATGCAATCTGAAAGTTCTGCATTTGTTAACGTTGAAAGTCAACAATGTGCTGCCCCAGATAGCAGTGAGTCGTCTCGGAAAGATAGTAGTGTCAAGGAGAGAACTTCTCCTATAAGTTCTGACAGTAAAAGTGACTTAGTAAAAATTGGTTCTGACAGGACGTCCGGTCACACATCTGGTGATGAGTTGGAAACAACCACGTCATCAGACATTGAAATTATCCCTAGTCCAAATGGAGACAATGGTCATGGCTTTAGTAGAAATAGCCCAGCTAAATATGCATTTAAACAGTCCAAGTTTGATGGGACTACATCACCCAATCTCGTGGACTTGGTGCTGGGGAAATCTCTTGCAACAAAGATACGTGGCCATAACCGAGAGCTATCTGAAGCGTCTATTCAAAGTAACACAAGTGATGAGAGCCAAGGATCAGAAAATGAAAGACTAATGAGAAGATTGTGTGAGATGACAGAGATTTTAGAAGCGCGAGAGAACAAATTGATTGAAGTGAGTAGGAACAATGCTGAGTTGGCAGAAAACAATGCTGAATTGAAAATCCAGTTGGAATCCATGCAAGCTAAACATGAGGGAGGTGACATAAGTGTTATTACAGAAGATTATACTCAGAGAATGTCTGCATTAGAAAAGAAATTTCAACAAGCAATTAGAGAAAAGGTAATGTCATGAGTGATTACTGTTTACAAAAACAATTCCTATTAATACCCTTATTATCATAAAACTTATAGCCATTGTATTGTTACATTACACATAACTCTGTTCACGTTATTCCAGTGACTACTAAAATACTGCAACACTTACAGTTTAAGGTCATATACATACATACTTGAGAATCATATCAACATTTAAGCAAATTTATGGTATAAGTTCTAATAGTTAATATAAGTACTACTATACACTTTATTAATTGTCCATTTAATTCTCTCTATGTAGGATCAACTAAGAAAGCAATTAGACTCTTTGAAATCTGAGTCATCACGTAAGAACTCAAATGAATTCGAGAATGCGTTAAAAGAGAAGGATGAAGTTATCACACAATTACAAGAAGAAGGTGAGAAATTGGCCCGCCAGCAGCTACAGCACTCCAATATTATAAAGAGGCTCAGAGCAAAAGAAAAGGATAATGAACAAGTCATTAAGAGCTTAAGGTAAATATTTAGTACATAGAACATCATACCCTAGCCCAAATTAAAATATTCATTGCACTGCTTTAAATTAAAAGGTAGGAGACGAATTTATAGATAGTCTTTTCATTTGATTATAAGCAATATATAGATGGTTTAAGTCAAACTTAAGATTAAACAACATTGTTTTAAATAAAATAAAAATATGTAGTTTTATTCTAATTTATTTTGGAAGTACCAGCTTTACCTATGTTAGTTCCAATAAAGTTTATTCATTTGTGTTATAGATATATTTGTTTTCAGTGTTGGTTGATTTATAGCACAGATTTTTTACCGTTCAATATGTTGTCTGATATGGTAATTAACATGATAGTAATCAAACAGATAGTAATTTATTTGTGTGTAGGTAATATAATAAGAAGCAAGTAGGTTAATGGTGCTTAGAAATCTATGGGCGCTTGTGCACTACACTGAATTTTCAGGTCCGGCGGTCCGATTTTTTCCGGTCCGGAATGACATGAAAAACTCGGATGAGTAGCTTGTGCACTTGTCCGTTTTTTCCTGATCGGAGCGGCGCAGTGTAGGGCAGCTCTCTTTGAAGCTACACGTCACTTTCGCTAGGTACGATGAGATTTTTGGAACGTTGGTAATTCCGTTCGATGACGTAGAAAGGTACCTAAATAATGATCTGATCGTTTTACATAAACATAATAAATTATGGCAAGACGAAAGCATTTTTTTACTACTATCGGATGACTACTATTAGATGTAAAAACTTATACCCTTACTAATTTAGGAACAGCATTATTCACATACAATAGCTAAAAATATCTGACATTAGAATAAAATTACTGATAATGGTCTAGTACTTGATGTTTAAATTTTTAAATGTGCTATTTTTTTTCGAAGTGTTGTAAAAGCAACTTTCAGCGATTACAGAGATAGACCAATCGGTGGCGCCATTTCGTAAACAAATCGAAATTAGTGCCGTGTTAGCGGAGAATTATTATGCTAAATGAACTTGACAAGATCAGTTGACTGTATTATATATAGGCATAAATTTATACGCGTGGTGTAGTTTCTTTGAGCAGAAATATTATTCCCTTAGAATACTTATTTTTTTTAAATTTATTAATGACACAAACATACATTTAAAATTTTATTAAATGCGAAAAACACATTGAGTGTCACATAATTACTTTTGTTAATCTTCTGTTTATTCTTTATTATTACTTCTGTTGTCAAATATTTATCTATACTTATCAATTGTTTAAAAAAAATTTGATAATGACAAATTTCCAGGCAAACTTTCATCCCCTATTTTTCGCAATAAAATGTAGCCTATGTCCTTTCTTAAAGTTAAGTCTATTTACTATATTAATTTCCATTTAGATGGGTTCAGTTGTCTAAACGTAACAATACTTATTTATCTTACTTAAGATATCGATATCTATCGATACTTTTAATACGATTCTAAAATCTAGCTAAGTATTGATACTAGAACCATATGCTGATCAAATTAGAACTATACCGAGTTTTCCAAAGCATATGCAGTGATATATACCAACTATATTAAATCATTATATAAAATATAGCATTTTATAATCAACAATAAATATCGATTATAAGTTTATTGGGAATTAACAATATTGCCGAAATAAATATCGATTCAAATCGATTATTTTTTCTAATGCCTATTCCTTATGAATTTTCCGGATCTCGGACACAGCAGTGCACAAGCATAAACACGTTTTTCATTGCCGCCATCACGGACCTGAAAAAACCGGTCCGGAATAGAGAAAAGTAAAATTCCTGACAGTGCACAAGCGCGCATTACCTACATATGGCCTGACATATCGGACCTGAAAAAATCGGACCCCCGGACATGAAAATTCAGTGTAGTGCACAAGCGCCCTATGAGTAGCAGTACTTATACCGCGTTATTTCAAAACTATTAAGAGGTAAAAAACCGGCCAAATGCGACTCTTAAATCCTTACATAATTCGGTTTTTTAGTATTTATCGTAATAGCGCCGACAGAAATACATCATTTGTGAAAATTTCAACTGCCTAAATTTCAAGTGCCTAAATATATTATAGTCACAGCCTGGTGATAGACAGACAGTGAAGTTTTAGTAATAGGGGCCCATTTTTACTTTCGATCTGGGTCCATTGCCGCCAGGTTAGTCCATCACTGTATCTCAGATCTGGTTGTCGGCACTACGACGTTTCATAATTTATACGTAGTCATTTATGATGAAAATGTTGTAATTTCTAATCGAGTTTTCTCTGTTTTAGAGATAAAATAGCAGAACAGGCTAGTGAATTGGAACGCTTGAAGCGATCTATGGCAGCCAAGGAGGAGCTGGAGGTGAGCCAAATAGAGGCTGTGTACAAGCTCACCACGGCCAACAAACGACTCGAACAGGAACTGGCGGAGGTATGTGGTTTGTAAAAATTAATATTCATTATAGTCGAGTGCTGACGTGCTATTTTTTGGGATTTGTAACGCAGCTTTCACCAACTAATGATCGATTTTTGTTAATATACCTTAATAGAGTTTATTCACTACTATTTAAATAAATAAAAATTAAACTATCAATTTTTATATTTAAATTGAAATATCCAAAATAAATGAAAAGTGTATAATCGTGGTAATGAATTGCCGATAGAGCAAAAGCTCGTTAGATGATACGACGCAGCGATTGGAGAGCAGCCGCATGTCGCTGGAGGCGGCGCGGCACGAGCTGATGGAGCTGCAGCGCGGCAGCGAGGAGCTAATCAGGCGACGCGCCTCACAGCAACAGCTAGAAAATGACGTGCGAGTCGCCAGGGAACAAGCCGCTCATGCCGACACACAGCTGCAACACCTGCGCGCCACCGCTGCTGCAGGTCAGTACTTTACCACGATCAGCTGCAACACCTGCGCACCACCGCTGCTGCAGGTCAGTACTGTGCCACGAATAGCTGCAACACCTGCGCGCCACCGCTGCTGCAGGTCAGTACTGTACCACGAACAACTGCAACACCTGCGCGCCACCGCTGGTGCAGGTCAGTACTGTACTACGAGCAGCTGCAACACCTGCGCCCCACCGCTGCTGCAGGTCAGTACTGTACCACGAACAGCTGCAACACCAGCGCGCCACCGTTGCTGCAGGTCAGTACTGTACCACGGGCAGCTGCAACACCTGCAGCCCACCGCTGCTGCATGTCAGTACTGTACCACAACCAGCTGCAACACCTGCGCGCTAGCGCTGCTGCAGGTCAGTACTGTACCACGAACAACTGCAACACCTGTGCGCCGCCGCTGCTGTAGGTCAGTTTCTGTACCTCGAACAGCTGCAACACCTGCGCGCCACCGGTGCTGCAGGTTAATTCTGCTAATGTTTACGTATTATTCACATCTCAATAGAATCTCAACTACTTGCATTTCGCCATTGGTTCTTTCTACCTAAAGTCCGATATTTTTAGCGAAATGTTTTCCTCAAATGTCAATGGTGGCAGATATATTAATATAATGGCAAAATGCAAGTAGTTGCGATTCTATTAAAATATGATTATTGCATACACATTAGCAGAATTGGCCTGTTATACATACCACCGCAGGACAAGGCTGCAACGCGCGTGCTACTGCCGGTGCAGATCAGAGAAGGACTCTATTGTTTCAATTTTCCTCGTGTGACATCGTTCATTTATTATCTTCAAAGATTTAGGAGGAGAGAGGGTTGATCTAGTATTATTTTTTCTCATCATAAGGAAAAGGGTTAGAAACAACCATAAATATCTTGCATAATAAATAGATGGCACCAAGGATATGATGCTTTTGTGTAAAATATCATAAAATAAAACCTTTCCGTTTTTGTCTTCGGGTCACACGAGGTTGACACGGCGGTGGCATTCAGTCAGTTGGTAAAGTTAAGCTGCTGGATCGGAAGCCCTTGACTCCTTATGTGGAAAAAAAGACAATAACTGAATCGTCTCGTGTTGACAGAGGAACGTCGATGGGCGGCGCGCGAGGAAGCTCTCCGGCGTGAGATACAGGAGACGAGGGACATGTACCTGTCGGGGGTTAGCGGGACAATCGCGTCCACCGCGGAAGAATCACCTGCGCCCGCTGCCGCGCTGCTGGCCCAGCTGGCGCAGCTGCAGCGCGCCTGTCTGCAGCGTGATCAGCGCCATCAGCGGCACGCCGCACAGCTGCAGCAGCGACTTGGTGAGTCATACTCTATTCTATCCTCATCTTTCCTATTTAAACATTCTACTCTATAGGGTATTCTACTCTGTTTGAAATAACATGTACTTTTAAGTATTTATTTTAATTTCAATGAGCCATAAAAAATCATGTTTTCCTACCATAGCCAAAATCATTCCGATAAGTACATAAAATAAACGCATAGAGTATATTATTAAATAGATTAAAAGTCAAGAAGACAAGAACAGTCCCATCCAATAATCTGGCTATAAAATAAAATGGTACAAATAAGGTAAGAACAGAACATAATAAATAAGCGCCTGTTTACGCCTATCTGACGTCACAACATGGCGGGTCAAGTTACGTGGTTTTCAAGAGTTTCAAGTCATGTGATACACAGACAAAAATCTTGACGTTACATTTTGAGATACCATGCGGTTTTATGACCCAAATACAAATCAAATCAAAATAGAACGTTACATAGAACTTGTAAAAGTCTTGAATTATGCCAACGGTTTGCAAAACTATGGCGGGAGACCTCGTTCTGAGTAGAACCGGAAAAAAATGGTAAGGGCTGTTTGTTTCTCCCTGTTTTATTTCTCACAGAGAAGTCTTATTGGAAGTGACTTCATTAGACTATGAGGTCATTTTCCATTACAATATCAAAAATAATAAGATATTTTTCGATTACTGGTGCATAGTAATCAGTCGGTTGCCGAGTAATACATACTCATTGAAAAATCAATATACAGTAGTCATAATGAACGAAATTAAGTTATTCAGATCAAACTTCTTGATGACAGAAGCCATGAGCTTGACGCATGAGCCAGCCATCGCTTCGCTCAACCATATTTTAGGGAACGGAACGACTCGATGCACACAACACCATCCCCGAGATTTTTAAGAGAGCATGACTAGTTTAAGTACCTAGACTTATCTTATGCAGTGAATTAAGGGAGCCAGTTTTAATACACCTATCAATGACTACAGGACACGGCACATAATACATAGGTACAATGTTAACCACATTTTGTTAAAATATCTAACCCCATGCCTTTTTGCCATTTAGATATTCTTCGACGGTATAATTTCCTTTACTTTGTAGACAACTTAATACGACTTTAAAAATGATTTTTTGGCAAATCTAATACAGCACTGGGGATCTTGTTAAAGTACTGTATATCTTGACCCATGAATGAAACTAATGCTTTCTGTAACCTGTAAGAAGGCATTACTAGCTTGTTTTTATTTCTAGTGTTAAGTTTGGGTACGTCATTATGCTTGGTCACAGATACACATAAACTATACAGATGCCTCATCCCATAGAACAAAATGTGACCGTCTTAACTGGGGCTATTCTTTGGGCTATTTTGCCTTACTTGAGCGAGCTCTAGATGCCGCAAGTGAGCAAGCAACGCTTAGAATTGGACTTGTGCTATTTATTCTATGGATTTTCACATAAACGTCAAAAGAGGGCGTTGATTCGTAGCACACCATAAAATAACGTATCGAAAGTAAAAAGTGCTTGAAAAATTCGTCATTCTTATCAACTCTCACGTAGGTCAAAAATCAGGGCAGTTGCCCATATATCAAAAGGTCATAGGTTCGAATCGCACTTGACCCTTTTAGGAGTTTTTCTGTAAGTTTTTTTTTATATAATTTGGAAACGTTTTTAGATATTAGGAAAAATAAATTTATTATTTTAAGTGATAAAGGAAACGATTCACTAATTAAATTGAGAAGTTTCATGAAGTTGATATTATTATATTTAACACAATATAATAAAAATATAGGTCAAAACTAAGATAAATCAGAAAATAAAATTAACATCCCTTAATAAATGACAAAGCTATTGATTATTTAAAGCTGTTTTCGTTTCGCACGGAATGTCTGTGGCCCATATTTGTCCAAGCCCAAATATATGAATATTTTGCTTAGCAAAGTTTGCTTATTGAAGTTGATTGTTTATTTTATAATCGTTTCCCTCGAGTACCTATTTACTGAGTAGGCAGGTGTGCTATCTATTGCGAAGATTGATGGCACAGATATAGATTCAAACTGTCAACTAATTGACCCTACCTATAACAGTTTCTTGTGTCTACTATTAAATGTAAGTTTATTGTCCTTTATTTTTGTTGTAAATTGTCAATTAATAAATTGAGATCATTTTTTTTTATAAACGCCGTCTCTGCGTATACATTTAATTATTTAAAGCATACATTTGCTCTGAAATTGTGGCTACTTGTAATTTAACGAAAAGTAGATTAAATAACTCTTTATTTCATTCTTTCGAGTTTCAAGCTTAGGAATTTTTTCCTTTTAAGAAATTATACTGGTTATTATATGTTCTGGTTTTTTCACAAACGTAAAATATTAAATGATACATATAACGCCATCTAGTGTGGTTTTTAAGAACAAATATTGTTTACTTAGCGATGAGACCCCGTGGCTTGGTATACATATTAATATTGTCCTGGTCAAAAAGTATATAATTATATATAAAAAGAGATGCAGCGTTCAATATTCCGAATACTTTAATTTTTTCTCCAAGAGATGTTTGTGTGCTTAATTGGTTACCAGCTCTTCTTAGTAAATCAAATATAGACTCAATATCACAATATAATACCATAATACATGATATAATGGTATTATATAATAATATAATACATAAATACATAAAATAACTAAAGAACATTGTCCGGGCATACATATCTAAATCATTTATATTGAAAAAGAAATAGACCTAAGATAGAACCTTGGGGAACGCCTATTTTTACATGAGACTCCAATGACTTCGCGTAGTGATTCAGTTTAAACGAGTGTCTGATGCAAAACGCAATCGAATGCTTTGGACAGATCGTTAATGACCATGAAAGTTTAAAAAAACCGAATTTAGTGGTTTAATTTACACTACATGGTATCAATTTGCGATGTTTTCCTGTGTCCAGCGGAGGCCGAAGCGTCAGCAGCTAAAGCGATAGAGCGCGAGCGTATGTGTAAAGAGGAGTGCAGCGCACTGCAGTTGCGTGTGAGCGAGACGGAGAGTGCGCTGCAGCATACGCGGGGGCTGCTGGACCGAGCTGCTGAAGACTGTCACGGACATCTTGAACAACTCGCTGTCCTACAACAGGACCTGAAAATGTAACAATATTTTTTATATTTTACTAATGAGCGTAAATAAATTTTTACATCTCCAACATTTTAGTTGTAACGGTGAGCTCTAATGGAAAGAGTAGAGCCATCGGGGTCCTGCTCAAGCGACGATCTTGACACCTTTCCTATTAAATCTTTGTAGCTTACCGTCGTGGTCTTCATCGATTATAGCATCATTCGTTTATTGGCGGAAACTATAATATACTAACTGACCCAGGGTGTCGTAACTCGGTAATTGTAATATATAGATTAAATAAATTTTACCTCAAATATTGTCAAAATAAGTTTATTAATGATATATATATCATAGAATAATACAATAGCGAAACTAATAACAAACGGTGCACTGTGAATTTAGGTACATACAGAGACGCGAGCATTTAAGTAGATCCTTGATGGATGGGAATGGGGGTGGGGCTTAAGGTGCGCTCAGTTACGTTATGCGCTTGCTACGGCAACGCGACTTTTAAAACTTTTTTGTACTTTATATAATGTGTCCGAACAATAGCAAGAACGAGGAGTTGGAGTCCCTGAGGATGGAGAGAGACAGCATGCAGCAGAAATGCGGTCTCCACATGGAGCAGCTGGAACAGCTGGAGCGGCGGCTACAGGAGGTGAGCGATGCGCTAGTGGCTGAGAGGAACAGGAATGCAATACTACAGGTACACCGATTTTTTTAAAGCAGTAATAATTTATGCTTTGACCAGGCCTGTCCGACCCTGCACCTATCCTGACAAGAACATGCTTAAGCGGGGCCAGTCTACCTGGTAAAACCCGCTGTGTGTACCCTCGAGAGGGGGGGGGAGGATGGATGGTATACATATAAAACACTTCCCAATTGAATTACATCGATAATTATATTATTTAGATTTAAGTAATTATTTCGATTGCAAATTGTATTTCGTAGAAGCTCATGTATGATTAGTGTAAATGTATGACGATTGACGTATTCATGTGAACATTCTATTGTAGGAGCGGGCATCAAGTCGGGGAGATGTGTCGCCTCACTCTGTCGGATCTGATTCATTTTCCAACTCTACGTGGGTGCAGGTGAGATCATCAATAAATTTAAATATGTATATAAACATAATATTTGAGTTCTTGTCAGTGCGTGCTATTGTATAACAGACTGTTTATGTCTATAGAATAGCTAAAAATTTATTTGTATACTACTCGAACTCGAAGGACCATATAAAAAAGATAGTATATAAAAAATTTAATTGAAATGTGGTATTTCATCGCTATATCAAATATTTACATTTAAATGTTGTGGTCAGAACATGGTACTTTAGATTCGATAAATTGGAGTAACAATGCAACTTGAAGGTCTGGTATGTATTAAGCGTAATAAATGGCAATTAAGACCTTTTTTGTGGTAGTTATTATGCATCATAGATTTATATAATTATTATACTAGTTCTTTATAATAGTCAGTATATTTCATTATATTTTTTTTCGTATTATTTAAAAGTATTATTTAATACTTTTGCTATGCTTTTCAAAATAGTCTTGCAGCTTACCATGGGTTTAATTAGACAAAATATACCAATTTAGAGTAGCCTTGCTTTGAAGCCTAGTCGAAATAGAATTAGATAAACGTAATTCTCCTTAGTACAAGATTAAATTTATTCATGATGGAACTTACCAAGTACAATGATATCATTGAAATAAAAAAAAAACTTTTTTTTATTATTGAACTTAGAACCGAACGGTCTATTAAGCATTATTTAGTAGTATTTACCTATACTAAACCAAAGCACATTACATTAAACGAAATAGACCTCGAGAGAGAAACGCTGTCTTCTACCGTGGTGTTTCTACAGAGTCTAGAGTAATTTGATGAAGAGCGGATTTAAGATCAAGAGATAATATTTCCTCTATTTCTAAACCGTTACAGCTGACTAATGGAAAAAAGTAAATTTCGTTCATATTTCGGCTCTATAAGTATGGAATATCTCAATATTTTTTTGATTGTGGAATATTTTTCTGATTACGGTTCCGAATTTATTAGTCGGAAACTAAAGTCAGTAAAGGAAGCGTTTTACGATTTTCTACAAAGCCGATGTACAAGACGACAATGCCACCCAAAGAATAGTTAGTTGAACGTTATATCGAAGCCACAAACACCTAGCAATGAATAGTTGAGAATTTAGATAGGATTGACGTGGAATAAATGTGGTACAGGACGAGATGGTGGCGGGCGCGGGCGTGGGTTCAGCGCTGGGCATGAGCGTGGGCGTGAGCGTGGGCTCGGCGCTGGGCGTGGAGCAGACGCTGGCGGCGCTGCGTCGGCGCGAGGGGGAGGTGCGCGCCCTCACAGGGGACCTGCAGCACGCGCGCCGTCAGCTGCTCCACCTGCGTGCCACACTAGCGGACCTCACCGCCGCCGCCGATCACCACCAGGTACACTACACTACACTACACTACAACACGTGCGCGCCACACTAGCGGACCTCACCGCCGCCGCCGATCACCACCAGGTACACTACACTACACTACACTACAACACGTGCGCGCCACACTAGCGGACCTCACCGCCGCCGCCGATCACCACCAGGTACACTACACTACACTACAACACGTGCGCGCCACACTAGCGGACCTCACCGCCGCCGCCGACCACCACCAGGTACACTACACTACACTACACTACACTACAACACGTGCGCGCCACACTAGCGGACCTCACCGCCGCCGCCGATCACCACCAGGTACACTACACTACACTACAACACGTGCGCGCCACACTAGCGGACCTCACCGCCGCCGCCGACCACCACCAGGTACACTACACTACACTACACTACACTACACTACACTACACTACACTACACTACACTACAACACGTGCGCGCCACACTAGCGGACCTCACCGCCGCCGCCGACCACCACCAGGTACACTACACTACAACACGTGCGCGCCACACTAGCGGACCTCACCGCCGCCGCCGACCACCACCAGGTACACTACACTACACTACACTATAACACGTGCGCGCCACACTAGCGGACCTCACCGCCGCCGCCGACCACCACCAGGTACACTACACAACACTACACTACAACACGTGCGCGCCACACTAGCGGACCTCACCGCCGCCGCCGACCACCACCAGGTACACTACACTACACTACAACACGTGCGCGCCACACTAGCGGACCTCACCGCCGCCGCCGACCACCACCAGGTACACTACACTACAACACGTGCGCGCCACACTAGCGGACCTCACCGCCGCCGCCGACCACCACCAGGTACACTACACTACACTACACTATAACACGTGCGCGCCACACTAGCGGACCTCACCGCCGCCGCCGACCACCACCAGGTACACTACACAACACTACACTACAACACGTGCGCGCCACACTAGCGGACCTCACCGCCGCCGCCGACCACCACCAGGTACACTACACTACACTACAACACGTGCGCGCCACACTAGCGGACCTCACCGCCGCCGCCGACCACCACCAGGTACACTACACTATAACACGTGCGCGCCACACTAGCGGACCTCACCGCCGCCGCCGACCACCACCAGGTACACTACACTACACTACAACACGTGCGCGCCACACTAGCGGACCTCACTGCCGCCGCCGACCACCACCAGGTACACTACACTACACTACAACACGTGCGCGCCTCACTAGCGGACCACACCGCCGCCGCCGACCACCACCAGGTACACTACACTACACTACAACACGTGCGCGCCACACTAGCGGACCTCACCACCAGGTACACTACACTACGCCACTTGCGCGCTACACTAGCGTGTAGCGATGTCAATGCAACATTGATGAAATATGATTTAGAAGGAAGTTTCATTTTAATCGAAATATTAAAATATTGCTTTCAGCTGTTAGGGTTGATTGTATAAAAACAAAATTTGATTAAATTATAAATACCTTTCTGCCTTTAAAAAACTGTCGGCAGTAATTACGGGTAATTATCATAATATTAAAAAATATATATATATTGATTATGACGAACCCTGTATCGGAAGAATTAGTTGCAGACTCACGTGGTTGTGTCAAATCTTTCGTTCGGTAGCTATAAGAACGTTTTACAAAAAACAATATTTTACTAAAAGATTGTACAACCGTATAATTAATATAAATATTTCAAAACTATCAGAGCCTTCAGGAGCAGTACGACGCGCTCCTGCAGATGTACGGCGAGAAGGAGGAGCAGCTATCAGAGGCCAAGCTGGATCTGCATGACGTCACGCAGCTCTATAAAGCTCAACTCGACGAACTCGTACAACTGAAACGGCAGGTCGCCGCGTTACAGCGATAGCGAATGGAAGCCATCCCAAACGATAATGTACGCTCGTTGATAATAATATGTACTATAGATACTTAGATAGTATCGTAATACTATAATATTATATTAGATTATGCAAGTTCCAGGTTCTTAATTACTTATAAAATATAGTATGTATAACTTCTGATTTGACCTTATTGTCTTTATGTTGGATCTCCCACAAATTTTATAAAACTTAACGGATATCAATGAAATCAGATATACGGTTAATTCTAAGCCTGAATGAGGAAGTGTTTAAAAAACGAAAGCACTAAAAAAGCACCTCCACTAAATGGCGACTCTAGCAAAAGTTGATTTTTGCAGGAGTACCAAAGACAGTCATTTCCGTTCCTTTTATCTAACGTTTTTTTTTTAAACACTTCCTATTAACAAATAGGCTACTCATTTTTATCCCACTAACCGGTTCCTTAGGGATAAATTTACTGTCAATTCACCGTGTAAAGCGGGCGAAGCCGTTGATGGATAACTAGGATAATATAATAGCTATATATAGTTTATCCCATTGACAAAAAATACCGACTCAGAAGAGAATCGAATCACGCACCATCTTTAATCCAGATTGGCTTACTGGTTGTTCAATGCTTTTGTAGATATTATGTTTTCAGTAACGTTGTTTCTTCTATCCATTAATTAATAATCGAGTTACTCTACCAGCTTATGCCTTTGTGTTGTGGAAACCTGGAGCCTTATTCTATATCTGTGTAAACGCAATTTCGTCTGTTTTCAAAATGCTAATACAACTCCAAATAAACGCATTTTTCAATAATTTATGGTGCAACGGAAGTAGCTATCTCCGATGCATAGATAATCTTCATGGATTTGATTTCAACAAAATTATGAGAACGATTCAAAATTTTCAGAATTTTTGTTTGTTAGCCCCTCGGGATATTTTCGTTTCCTAACTTGATGTGAAGAGGCCTTTTAATAAGTTCTATGTTACATAAAACACCAATTATCATCACATAACAGCTAATTGTGATCAAAACAATTTTTTTTGCAGATTACAAGACGAATTTTAAAAATTTTCAACATCGAGCTGGCGACTTCAAAATTTTTATAAGAACGACTATATATTTTTAGGTTTCTTCTGCGGTTTTAAAATGTGCTACTATATGTAAATTTAGTGAATAATATAGTAAAACTGCTGTCGCATTTATTACTTTTGCATTGCAATAATGAAAGTGTTATTCATGCATAAAAAATATATTATGTCAATGTTATTTCAACATTCTGTCATCTTAATTTGTAGATTGCGATTTCATAAGTGAAGCATGGTTTTAGAAATTATATATAATATGGTGATTGTAGTTTTGAATGCAGCACTTTTGAAATATTAGTGTTCTATAAATATTAATATTCGAAATATACACTATGTGATTTATGCGTAAGTGATTTTCGACTTTGGTACACACGATTTTATGCTCTAATCGTATGTATTTAATAATTTGGTTAAGGTCAGTGCTTACGGAATAATTGTTATGTACATATATATGTAATGAAATACTGATATTAAATTACGGTAACTTGGCGAAAATTTTTAGCGATACTGTTTATTAATTTAATTAAATTCGGGCAAGATGCATATTTACTGTGGTTTTGTGGTATATAAAAGACATTGGCGCTTTCAACGGATTATGTCACAAAGTATATAAATATGCACACAAAAAAGTGCTAAATTAGTTATTCTAACCAAGCATATATTAGAAGTAATGATTTCAATATCAATTTTGGATAACATTCTTTATGATACGATCAACCTATAAAAAGTAATTTAACGAGAGTTTTAAAAGTCACGCCAGAATCTAGATTTGAAGGCCATTGTGATGAGAGAGGTTATCCCCAAACTTTCGAGTTTGTTTACAAGTATTGTCTTGTATATTTTTTAATAAGCTATTATTAACATATTGTAAACTTCAGATTATATAATTTATTTTCACTTTTACTTGCTTTAAAACCATATTATGTGGATTTAATTTTCTGGAACACGTCATTCATCAAAATTAAAAGAAATACTATGTGTGTTTACTAAATATTAATAGTAATTAAAAATTATTTATATGACAATACTCCTATTGTAGTTACATAGTCATGCTTATAACAAGTTGATACAGTCTTGAAATGAATAACTTTTATTGTACCTACGTATGGAAATTTTGGAACCCCTTTATAGAAGCTACAGACAACAACATAGTCAAAATAGCACATAACCACACGCCGGTTTCAAGATATCGCCAATCTCTAAGGTCCCAGGTATGATTCCCGGTCGGATCGATGCGGTAAATGTCTCCGATCTGGGTGTTGTTTCAGATTTCCAAAATACAAGTGCTTTAGCTTCTCAATTTGGGATCACAACTTGTATGAGATGTTGTTTAATGCATAGATTTCTCTGTCTACAACTAGATAAGCTATGCGGTACTACAAAATTTCCTACGTTTCATATTGCTATCTCGCTCACTCTTTACTTTTCAAAATCTTACGTTTCTCGGCTGAAGCGCACTGTTGCACAGTTTCGAAATCAAAATGTCATGTAAATTGATCATATTTGATTTGCAACTCCATTTGTTAATATGTAAATATTTATTGTAATACTTGTTAAGGAGTGTTATTGTAAATGGGTTAAAAGCCGCGAGTTCACTGGACGACATAGTAACAATCAACTACTTATGTCTACAACACACCCTTATTCTATACCTTGATGAGAATATGTCATTGAGTGAACACGCTGCTTTACTTGTCAGTTCCTGAAGGTATGACCTTAAAGCTATGTAAAATAAATTTGTAAATGCCATTATTTATATTTAATGTAAAATTAGGGAGAACCTTGCTGACTTATTGAGTCTGATCAGTACCTCCTTCACTGTTATTGTATATCAAAATTTATAAAATGTACCAAATCTTTAATTGGCACTGTCCACATTAAATATTGATATTATTTTTATATATTTAAATCGATTTTAATAACTTCCCGAATCAAAGTAAATTGTTGGTATTGGTGATTATAATTTGTAGATGCAGTAAAATCAATGATTGAATGGTGTGTCATACCTAAGCTGGTACTATAGTTATTAGTTTATATTCTATAGATATTATTATTTCGTAAGGTATGTTATCACAACTCGATAAACTCGATTCATTGTTGATATTAGGGTCGTATTGCAGTTCAGATAAGATGTACGAGAATCACGATGTAATTTCTGGTTAATCAGTTAAGTCCATGGATGCGTTGTTTTTTAGGTTGCATTACGAAGATGTAACACTGATAGATATACAGTCGGCGTTATAATCAGTGGCTTAACTATACCGTTTGGGACCCCTAGCGAATTCATCGGATGCACACTCACTCCCACCCCACCTCCTAATATAAAAAACACTTTACCAAACTTGTAACGCACACTTTCTTCAATTTGATATATTCGATGTGAGACAATACTCTTCTACTGTATCCGCCTAAAATATAGTTAATCCATTCGGATCAAGTTGTTAGCCAATATATAAATTTGAAGAATTGACGCAAAGATATCTTGATCACTGCGTACTTAGATGGATATACAACTTAGATTAGACAATTTAAGTTGTATAGCAGATATACTTGAATTTCTGTACTTGACATCTTTTCGATTACCTTGGGCGCTTCGATAATTATGTATGACGTTGACTGTACGCTATTTTAATGCTCGTGCATTGTATTCTCACTCGGCTCGCTTAGAGATTGAAAAGATGATTTATTGTATCATTCACTATCTAACATCATCACAGCAATAAAATTAAATGTAATGTTATTTTAAATTTCAAATTTTATCTCGAAATGTGGCACTGTATAAAGTTTTTTTGTAAATAAATATATCAAAACCTAATTGAACAGCTTTTTTCATTTAGATTATTATAAATAAAACAAATTTTTACATACACCATTTATTATTAATATTAAAAAGAAGCGAATACAATACAATACAGTGAATGTAAAGATGGTTTAATTTCCAGTATATTCAATATTTTTCGTAATAATGAAGTATTAAAAAAAACGAAAGCACCTCAACTAGATGGGTCTAAAATTCAACTCTAGCAAGTTGATTTTTGCAAGAAACGAATGGACCAAATACAGTCATTTCCGTTCCTACTAACTAACATATTAAAAAACTGAAATTTGAAAAGTTCGAAGCTTAGATATCAAATACGAAAAAGTACAAATAGAATATGAGTTGTTATTGAGTGTTGAAAACTAATTTATTTTTAAACATGAAAGAAAACGGGAAAGGTTGTCATGGAGAAATCAAGAACGCACCGTCGGCGACATCTAGTTAGATTTCTGGAACTCATGTTTTTTTTAATACTTCCTCATTGTATACTTATGAGCAAAGAAATTGAAATAAATTTTTGAAATAAAATTTAAATCAATTGAATAGATTATTTTATCAGTAAAAATCGTTTATATTTCCTTAACTAAAAATCTCAAGATTGTTACGATTCCTTTGCTCACAAGGATATCTTTACGTATGCTTTCATTGCCACAACCACACTGTATGTTAAAATAATGTAGGTGAGACATTGATGAAGGACATTCATACATACGTGAAGGGCGCTAAATAGACGACAAACGATGAATCATTGACGCGGGCATTACACCATGATGATTGAATTTTAGACACAAATCTGTGTCCAACACGTACGGGTTTGAAAATATTGAATAGCGTCACTGACAAAAATGCGAGTATAAATTGTAATTTCTGATTCTAAAGTAAGCCATCGGTGGAAATCATTGAAAGGACATTAAGTTTGAATCGATACGCTATATAACACTTATATAGAACTCATTTTCCGTAATTTAATTATTTAGAATTAAAAGAAAACAAGATGCTATTGTGTTTAATATTATCAATCATTTACTCGTTACAAAACGAACATTCGACTATTTTTAACATTTAGGACATTGGAATTTATACAACGTGGATGTTTTACGATGATTAAAAAAATAGGTATCATAATTACTATGATAATTATAAAATATTTTAGTATTAATTTAAATACATAATAATGTTTCTGAAAAGTTATTTATTTGACATGAATTTATGAAATACTCGATACAAGGAAAGAAATATCAGAAAATGAGTTCAAAACTAAAAGGTACAACTACACCAAATTATATGAATATTATAATTTACCAACTAATTCGTCCAAGATGTTAGCGAACGAATACACACGTCTAGCAGCAGATATACAGGGCTACAGACGTGTTCAAAGATTACATAGTTTTAACAAATATCGCCGCTCTTTATCTAAACAATGACCGGATACAAGAAGGGCTCTTAATTTATTTCAGCGAGTTCAAAAAGCTTCTATGAACGTCGAAGGAGCTAAATGTGTTTTTGCTAATTTGCGAGCAATATATTTCGAGGTCAAATCATGTTTCATTGTCATAATCCGATCGGGGGGGCGAAGAGGGTCGACGTCGATAACCGTTTTCGATGATGAATACAAAACCAGCGGTTCATCGACACCCAGTCGCGGTACACCATAAACGATTACTCTAAAATACTAAACCGCCCGACTCGTCACGGGGGTGTTGTCGATGATAATTTTATTCGATCTGAACTGTTTTCAATGTTTTATGGATTTTTTTTTTTATATCAAAAGCCGAGAACAATTTTGAGCGAGAGCGAGCTGCTCTCCGACCGAGTTAAAGAAATACCTTATTATAATAATCCCGTGACGTAGCGGAGCGGCCGTCAATATTGAGGGGAACAAAACACTAAGCTTATCGTAGATGTTATGTATAACTCCGCGCCACCGGGACGCCGGCTACGGGCGGAGGTGTCGTTCGATGTCCTCGTTGATCTCGGGCCGGCCTCGAGTGGGGCCTCGGGGCCTCGTGATGGTCTCGTGAGGCTCGCGGCCTCTTGAGACTCTATGGGCGGGGCTCCAGATGTGGGGCCGCGCGGGGGCGGTGCCTGAATGGGGGCCCGCTGCTTCAGACCCACGCCATCCAGCCCTCGTACATGAGACACAGGTTCTCCGCGCTAGTCGCCTCCGATATTATGTACTCCACCTGGTGAATTTATTCATACTCAATCAGTTTATGTGGCGTCAATGAATGAATTATTTTTGATAATTTTAATATTGTATTTGAAAGGGACTTCGTAATCTAATGAAGTACTTTTAGAATGGGGATTCTCTGTTTCAAACGAAGAGAAAAAGGATACCATGTTGGGTTTTCTGCCGGTTCTTCTGAATAAGAGTTCTCTTGCCGTAGATTTATAAATCGACATAAATGATCGAAACGGCCTAAGACTGAACAAATCAATTTTTAAATTTAATGATAATATTGGCCGAGTTCATTAATAAACAAATATGATACGATCGGTCGACAAGAGTATTACACTAAATTCCAAAGATTGTCTAATACTATTAATAAACTAAACAATAGTCAAGCGACAGATTAATTGGAAAGTAAACTGGAAAACATAAACATTTGAAATAAACCGATTTTTAAACATATATTTTTGAAAAATTAAAATTTCGGCATAACAGCCTTTGTATATAGGTATATACGCTTGAGAACTTGAAACTTTCGAGGTTATTTGAAAAATTGTTTTTACAGAATTGATACCATGTAAATATCGATAATTTGATAAATATAACATGATAGCAATTCCGTGACTAACAATTATAACTTATGTACGTATGCGTAAACGTACCATACGTACCTGTTCGTGTATAAGATGTCTCGCGTGTGTGTCGCGTCCCTCCAGCTTGAGTCTCACGCGCCGCCACACGCCCGCCCCCTGCGCACTGCGCGCCCCTCCCCCTCCCCCGCCCCCACCACCTCCCACACCCACGCTCGTACCGCCCCCGCCCACGCCTACTAAACGAAACCAGTGTTCAATTTCATACTTATAATGCGACTCAGTTAATATGCACATATCTAGAAGTTCGATGGCGCAGTGGTAAGCGCGCTCAATCTGTGATACGGTTGTTAAGCAACTTCCGCAATGGCCAATCATAGGATGGGTTACCAAAATTTTATTATCTCGAGCTCCTCCGTGCTGTGGAAGTCACGTTAAACCGTAAGTCCCGACTGCATCTACAGTCGTTAACATCCACCGATCTGCACTGGGTCCGTGTGTGGCCCATTCTCTCTATTCGATTTGATTCGTTTCCGTCTATAGGGAATATAGTCTGAGCCCCAAAAGTGGTGACTTTAATAGGCTGATAATGATGATCTTAGTGAATGTATTTTTTGGCTATTAACATACCTGGTCGATGGCGGAGCGGTTGAGATGCGCGACGTAAACTAGTGTCCGCCGCCCACGAGGTGCTCAGTCTGAATAAAAATTGATACCATCACTACATAGTATAAAAGAAAGTCGCTTGTCCCTATATACCTACGTATGCTTAAATCTTTAAAACGACGCGACGGATTTAGATGTTGTTTTTTTTTTTCGTAAATAGGGTGATTGAAAAGGAAGGTTTTTTATGTTTAATACAAGACCATGCGGGCGAAGCCGCTGGCAGAAAGCTAGTTACATTATAAATTATAAAAATCAACATTATTGCATAACAAATATACAAATGTAAAAATGGGTAAATAACCTTATCGTTTAAAAACATTCTCTTCCAGGCAATTGACTACTTTACTAATTTTGGTAAAAATATTATAAAACTTTCACATGATCATATCAGATTTATTTTTCTATAAAAAGTGTTATGAAATGAGAAGAAATATATTTTCATTTATTAAATAAAAAAAATCCGCTAAAACAATCAGCCAAGTGACATTTCGAGCTATGACGTCACATTCCAACAAACATGAGTACTGGTTGCACTCACAGCATAATGTTTATTGAACTGTGACGTCATACGATTCTCGTCATGGCTGCACGCGTCTCAGTTCCTCTAATCCACAGATAATTATTCTTCAAAAATAAAATATAACTTCAATTTATTTTTAAACCAAAAATAGTACACAGATATTGTTTACTTAAAAATTTTCATTTAGAATATATGACATAATAAATTATTATAACAATCAACTAACCAATTACACCTAAATACACTCTTATTATACTTCTTTTAATTTTTATTTTGAGGTTATTTCAAATAGCACATTTTCGCAAATGCAACTTCATTCATTACAATCAGTAGGATTTGTCAAAGTGCAGTTTTGTATCCAAATGAAATATAAGTATATCATAAGTAATGATGTATATATACTGACTGTAGTAGCGTGTCGTCTAGTGCGGGCAATAAGTCTTTCAGCTGCAAGGCGGCCGCTAGCGCCTGCATAACTCCCTCCCTCTCTAGCACGGCGCTCTGTCCCGCTCCCTCTTCATTTTCCTCTTCCCCTTCGTCCTCCTCCGGGCACAGCGTGTTGAACGCACCGGCGAGAGTATCCACCTCCTGCTCCTTCGATAAATACACAGCCGCCGGATTGTTGCCCTACAATAGAGGAACGGAGAAATTAGAAAGTGTTTTAAAATAATCACTATGGATGCTTATACCAAAAATAAAATATTTTATATAAATAAACCTCATTATGTATCTCAAGCTATGTTTCAAAAACCGCGTCTCGGAAGACGTAACTTCATTTGTGGGGATAAATAAAAGGGTTTATAGTAAAAAAAAAATACTTATATTTAAACTCGGAAATTATTAAAACCGTACACTGGCGCTCGTTTTCACTAACCTCGAACAAGGCATAGCTTAACAAGGAAACTCCTAATATAACGACTCTTCTAAGCAGATTAGTTTAATTCCAAATAAACATTTTTTCTTTTATTCCTTGACAGCTTGGGCTAACGAAAATTCAGGTCATCTGGTAACTTCGAATTTAATGTTCTGAGAGGTTGATGAGCTTCCATCAACCCGATACTTAGGCTCCCACCACGACAGAGTAGCTCGGTGGCATAGTGGATAAGCGACGCGGCCGGCGATAGTAGTCGTTAAGCAAATTTCGCAAGGGTCGGTCACGGGATATGTGACCAAAAATTATTATTTGGAGCTACTCCGTGCTTCGGAAGGCACGTTAAGCCATTGGTCCCGGCTGCATTTGCAGTCATTAATACCCTCCAATCCGCATTGGGCCAGCGTGGAGAGTCATGGCCCATCCTCCTTAACCATCCATAAGGAAGGCCTGAGCCCCTGCAGTGGGGACGTAAATTGATGAACGATGATAACAGATAATAAACGGGCTGCAAATCGACCGAATAATATATGTATTGTATGTGTATTGTCTAGGACGTGATTTATAAGTGATGTAGATATGAAGGTTTGTCTGGTGCTAGAGTGAAGTAGATGCGAGTGTACCTTTCTATGCGGCTGCAGCTGCTGCAGCGGTTGCGCGGCGGCGTTCAGCAGACGGCGGCGCGCTTGGTGAGCTGTGCGGGCCGCCCCGCACGCCACCCGCAGACCGCGCGACACCGCCTCCCGCCGCATGCGGGCAGCAACCGCGGCCGCAGCGCGACTCTCCGACAGTTCGCGCACTAGAGCGCTCACACTCTCAACCTGCACCCACACACGTAACACATTCACTAACTATATCCAAACAGATAGTTTGGCAGTAATCATTCGTAATTCAAATGAAATAATGGAATTTTTAAATTAACAAAAATATAACACGAGAAGCCTGACATACAGTAAGTTCGTAGTTCAGGCACTTGTATTATTTTGCTCAATTTTATATAATGATTTCTAGTTTTATACACCGTATTCATAAGTATTTTAATAAAGAATTTATTTATTTGTTTATTTTATATTCTCAATTGGCTACTGGACCGTTCTGGGATAAGACTACCAAATATTTTTTCTTACAAAAAAAAGAAATAAACAAAGGAAAAACATCTTTTCATTCTTTAATTTACCTAAGCACGTGATATTCGAGCAGTGACGTGAAATGTGACGTCACCGCTATAAACATGAGTAATGGTTGACTCGCAACAAAAATTTGACGTTTAGTTAGTTTATTGAAATGTGTCATCACACGATGTTTCGTCAAGATTGCTTGCGTTTCGGTTCTTGTAATCTACAGTTAACATCGCAAGTTAATTTTGCAAAAATAAAATTTACTTACAATTTTAATACAAAAAAACACTACACAGTTGTTGTTTACATATAAGTTACCATTTCCAACATATGTAATAACTGTCAAGTAGCCAATAATATCAGATGAAATAGAGAAATAGACGAAATCGAAGAAAATTTTTAAGTTAATCATATGTAAAGTTAATTATATAGCTAAAAAAGCTCACCCAATGTTGATCTATGTTTCCTTCGGGATGTAACATTTCCATAAGCGACTCCTCCACCGGTGTCACCTGCAGGGCGTACTTCTGCGCTAGAGTGCACGCCTGCCCATTCAGACAAAAAAATGATACAGTAATATTCAATAAATGGTATAAATTTACATACATTAAATGTATCGGTTAACAGATCGAAGTAAAGTTTCCAGTATAATTTCTATCTCAAATTTTCTGTTTCTCTAAATGTTTTCGCTTAATTATATAAAAAATAGAAAACAATTTAGTAGAGTTCTGGTTGCTTTATTATCTAATTAGAAAAAATCTATTGCAATAACTTTCAATTTGACATTAGAAAGAAATCCACGAACTTCACGTTTCGACTACTTAACATAAGATGGCTATCGCGACTACATTTTGAGACATTGAATGAACGATTATTTGAACGAAATTTTTAATTGGACCATTAATTGACGATAATTGGAACTCCCCAAGGCAAACGTTAGCATAATACTTTAAGTTACTAAGTTGTTATTATGTTTCTTTGTATAAATTGAATAACATCTTATATCCTTTTTACTGATTTGATTTTATTATGAACCAGTTCTATTAACTAATTTCACAAAAGGCACACAAAATATACATACAGTTCAAAATCTTATTACTCGATTTTGGGGAAGCACTAAAGCATAGAATATGGAGAATTGGTAAACGGCGACGATGCAGTCCCGATATAGCGACGCGGTAACAACACTGTACTTATTTACCTTGTGCCAGTGGTGTAGCGCGGGGCGGGCGGGTCGCGGGGCGGGATCGCGCCGCATGCGGGCGGCGGTGCGGGCGCGGCGTGCGAGGGTGTCGGCGGCGGGCAGCAGCATGCGGGCGCTGCGGGCACGCCTCTCCCACGCCCCCTCCAGCGCCTGCACCACCACGCCCAGCGCTGGGTTCGCGCCTGCTCCCCATTTCACTCTGAAAATTTTGATTATCATTTACTATTTAAATCGAGTTATGAGACCCTCTAACATTATAAACGACTGCATCTTCTATGTAACAAAATGCTAATTAACAAATATATAAATATTAGTTTTTGCCAACGACTTCGTCCGCGTGGACCCTAGGGAAATATTAAGTGGGGTAAAAAGTACCCTATTATCTAAGTCAGCAAATACCCTATCTGAATACCAAATTTTGGCGTGATTGACCAACAAAAATCCAAACAAAGAAACAAATTGCTTTCCGGCAAATTCAAGTAGTTCCTATTGAATATTTTCAACAAACCCTTGAATTATGCAATATTTGATCAATTTTTCATTCACATCGCTATACTGAAAAATATTCTTAATGAAAAATGCTTAAAAATCTACTCCAAGATCCTCAGTGATTAGAGCAGTCACCCGGATTGCGAAAGATCATGTTCGAGTCCCATCTCAGAGTCTCAGGGACAAAGTGGATTTTGAAGCAATTTTCATTAAGAAAATCCTTAAATATCAATATCCTAAAACAACTTTTCTTAACCTGTGATCCGCAGACCCTGGGGGCTAACATAAGTGTGGAGCTCTCAAAATACTTATCCTTAATATATATTCAGAATTACAATTCAATAGCAATATAAAATATAACAGATTCAGTCACAAATAAAATTAGCATAGTCTTTCATATCAAAGTGATATTAAATAAAAAAGCCCGAAACATTATCTGTGATAAGTGGACCAAAACTTTTTCTTTTTTTTTTTTGTAAAAAAGCAGTGGAAGAAAAAGTAAAGAAACTCTTAAAAATACAAATTATATTTCCGCATGTAAAGTCTATTCATACTAGTTACACATTACCTCTGATGTGCGGCAGTGACGAGTGCCTGCGTGCGTGTGACGGCGGTGGACAATTTCTCCGTCCACGCGGACAGCTCTCGTCCGCGACGCGCCAACATCGGACTGGGGTCCGCATTCCCGCCCACCACCTAACGGACGGACGATTCACTCATTACACAACTGGAGGTCTATCACGAGCTTAAATGCAGCCACAATATAATACTGAAAATGCCACTCGATACATCGATGTCGATGTTTCGATTTAATGAATTACTTTATTCTGCTTTGTTTATTTTGGATTATGTATTTACTTTTATAAATATGTTATTATTATTCTTTGTTCTTCTAATGCATTAACCCGCTGTTAATTTGTTGAATTGGTTTTGATTCTTTTAGCCTAGGGTTACCTGGCAGAGATTGCTAACTCAGCAATAAAACCGCTATTTGTGATCATGTATTCAGTTTTATGTACTTTGTTATTATTTTCAATAGTGCAATATAGAATATTCTTTCATTAATTTATGTTGAATTTTGTTTTTGAACGCTTTTATTTATTTTTGCTATTTAAATAAAAATTTAAACAAGTGTACAAGAACATGTGGTTGCATGTGAAATTTTTCAATTTGTATAACTGACGCGCTGTTGACTGTGTCATCAAAAATACGTCAGGTTAAGCAAATCTTTTTTTTTTTTCAATTCAATCTTTATCTTTTTGAAGCTAAGTAATTGAGCTACCCTCAATATAAGTGGGAGATATTTCATATATATTGCGGTAATCTGACGTGCAGCCGTGTATAGTAAAAGATAAAACAAAATTATAATAACTAAATGTTTATATGAAAATGGGATATTTAGTGTTTTTATTTGGAACGGGTTTTTTAACAACTAAAAGGAATGACGAAATGTGAGACAGTAGATATATATTTATTATTAGTGAAATTATGTCAACTTGAGAGAATCATAATAGCAGTTGCTATTTTCAAACACAATAAGTAACAACAAAACCTAATAATAACAATCGAAACAAACAAAAACATAACAAAAATGATATGTGATCTCAACACAAGTCAACTCAATAAGTGTACCCGTCAACCACTGTGCCATTTAATAAACAAGGTTTAGCGCCAGAGTAAATTTACTCCAAAATTGCAATTTTAGTATTAGTCCAAACTGATACCTACTGCCTTCTAGTAGTAAATATTACCCCCATTGTACCTCTTACTAGGTCAACCGTTGCTAAGTCTTTGTAAAAATTATGAATAATACTAAGTGCAGTCTCCACGTAAAGTTACTATGAAGATAAACCTTGTTTATTAATAACATTGCCAGTGTTTATCGTAATTAAGTCATCAAAATGGCGGCTGGGCGCATTAGCAATGAGGAAGTATTCAAAATGAATTGTTCCTGAAATCAAACTAGATGTCGCTACGGTGCGTTCTTGATTTCTCCATGACAACCCTTCCGGTTTTCTTTCATGTTTAAAAGTAAATTAGTTTTCAACACTCAATAAACAACTCATATTCTATTTGTGCTTTTTCGTATTTGTATTGATATCTAAGTTTCGAACTTTTCAAATTTCAGTTTCTTAATATGTTAGTTAAAAGGAACGGCAATTACTGTCTTTGGTCCATTCGTTTCTTGCAATAATCGACTTTTGCTAGAGTCGCCATCTAGTGGAGGTGCTTTTATAGTGCTTTCGTATTTTTTTTGAAATACATCCTCATTCGCGGGGGCACCAAATACCTGTGGGTGGGTGTGAGTGTGCGCGCGCGCCTGCAGCCGCGCATGGTGTTGCGCAGTGGCCGCGCGCGCGTGGTCCCGGTGCGCGTGCGTGGCGCGCGAGAGGTGCGCGCGCGCCGCCTGCACGCCGCCCGCCAGCGTGCACGCGCGCTCCACACGCGACGGGGGGACACCAGCCGACCACACCACGCGCGCCTTCTCGTACAACGACTCCAGCGGGACACTCCACGACGCGCCTGATAATTATTTTAAAACTCATTTACTGTGGTACATATACGTATGGTGTGGTACGTATGGTGTGTACTTGACAGTTATAACAACGATGGTAAGTTATGGCTGGTTTACACTTGATTAAGTAGATTTGAAACTAAATCTCGGGACCGTTAATGTTTACTGTAATGTTAAATAGATAATATCACTGTGAAACATGATGTCTAATTAAAGTGCCCCACGAGAAATGAGTGGCGAAGTATATATCTTATCCGTACTTTAAAAGACATTTAATAAAATAACTTGTAGATTGTTTGTATTAAGTTTTATTGATGTTTCTGACCCTTTACATGTTGTGTGTTCATATAAATCTAAAGCTAGTTTTACTAGTTTACAATTTAGCTTTACAAAAGTTATAATTCTTAGTCGCAGGACCAAATGCTACGAGTCAATTCAATAACATCTCAACGCCATCTAGTGGCACTGAACAAAATTAAATAAAATAATAGTAATAATTATCATATTTTTTATAACTTTCTGTGCTTAGTACTTCTTAATTGGTATTAAAAACTCAGTTTCAATTTTTAAACATTTTACGTAACAAGAAAGTTAACAATAACTTTTGTTATGTCTAAAGTCTTCTGCCAAATAAAAAAATATTTGCCAATTAAAATTTGTTACTCGTAATTGGCACCGATCGATGTCGCCGTCTCATTAAAAACAAAACGTTCAAAAGAAAATGCTTTACAAATATTTGGATTAGATAAATTCTTATAAGTTCAACAACATTTGATAGTTGTTGCAGCAGTGTGGCTCACACATCGGTTTCAATATTACCATTTCTAGGTTCTATCCTAGTTCGATCCTAGTTGAATAAATACAGGAAATGTTGTGTTTGTGTTTCTATATTGTCTTGGGTCTGCGAAGTTGTGATAGCAGATCTCAATACTTTAGTTACGGTATGTGATGTTTTCAATATTCATTTATTGTTATTTGTCTTGATAATTCCGAACACCCGTTTTCGGTACATAATTTACTGTTATTTTGGCGCTAATTGTAGTTTGATTACCAATCAAGTATTGTTTCTGTGTTGCTTTTAGTCATCAAATCAGCAGACAGATCCAGTTGACGAGTAGGCTTGCCAACTGTACTTTAAAATAGAGTATTATACTCTATAGAATGTAGGTGTACTCTCAAATCTATAACACAAACGACGATAAAATATGTCTTTACAAAATGTCTATTCATTCACGAATATAAAAGAAACAAAAAAAATATAAATTATACTCTTTTTTTAGAAGACAGTACCCTTTAAATACGTTCTTGGAATTTAGATTACTCTATTTCTTCTTATAAATGTTGGCAACCCTAGTGACGAGCTGACGAATTGTCGTATAGTAGGTATGATGCGTCACGTTACCTATCTCCTTCTGCTCCACCTCAGCGGCGAGATCTAGCGGCGCTCGTCGCAGCAACAGACAGATGCAACTAGCGAGCGCGCGCGGCCCCACCCCCAGCACACAACGAGATACGTATTCCGCCGACCATCTATACACACACGCACACAAACACACATGTCAATTGCCATTAACATAGTTAATATTTGAATATCTGTTAAAGTCCGTTAGAAAGCTAATTTAAATGATTTAAAAATTAAAACAGACTTTAAAAAAACCGAAATACAATTTTAGCTACATATATAACTGGTGTAATTCCAAAAAGAATCATCTGAATCAGTCCACTACTCACGAAGACCAGTCAAATTAAGAACCTCCTCTTTTTAAGGCGATTAAAAATTAATACAAAGTCTGCGATATTTTGAGATTTTATTTCATCATTCATAATCGGTCCATCCAGGTACCATTCCATTTATAATATTTATATTCACTCAGATTTCACCAGAATGGCTTTCCCGTTTTCGCACATTTTCTATTGCTGCTCCACTCCTATTCATAACATGATGCTATACAGCCTAGAGCCTTCCTCAATAAACGGAAAATTTATCACCAACATAATTTTTCAATTGGAACCAGTAGTTCATGAGATTAGCGCGTTCAACCAAATTCAGCCTTATAATATTAGCATAGAGCATAGATATGACCTGCGCACTGGCTTGCATAGGGCGGCTGTGTCTAGCGGGGCGGCGTGCGGTGCGGGCAGGGTGCCGGTGAATGCGCGCGCCATGGTGACGCAGGAGGCGAACACCTCCGCGACCGCCTGCACGCGCCGCACCAGGAATATGTCCTCCAGCACCGACCGCAACATGGGCCTCTGCATGGCTGCCTACAAATAACCACCACACAAACATCATATTATGTCTACCACAGATCACGTAGGGGAACGTTTTGTGCACTGTCCCCGCCACTTGAATATGCTTGAATTCTCCATCCACACGGATCCAACCGAAGGCTAGTCAAAACGCAGATAGCTTAGCCACTGAACGGTCCTCGTTCATCCTCTCTTTTGGAGGAAGGGTCTGTGATCCAACAGGGAATGCTCGGCCAATAAAGATCCAATGATGATTAAGAAACTTAATAAAACTTAGCTAAGCCCGTCAAAAGATTGCAGTCAGCATTCAACTTTTTCGTTTGATATTTTTCAATAGCTTTCAATACTTTGAAAAATCGTCGTACTCACATGTCAAATATATGTTGCGTAGCGTGAAGTTCATGAAATATTTCAAATGTCAAATTGAAAGGGGTAGCGTAGATTTTAAAATAAGACAATTAAGTCTCAAATCCCTTGAGAGGTAGACGAAGATAACCGAGCACCCCGTGTCATTACTTTACACACGTCTTTCGCTTCCTCGCTGTACGTCACTCTTTTCATATAATACATAAACGGACATAAGTTGTATCAACGTATTTGATCATTCAAGATAGCTGCCTTAATAAATATTTGTTCCGTAAACGAACTTCTATTAGTTCTCCGAATGAGCTTGGATGAATAAAGTTGATATTTTACTATTTTTGAGATTTGATGAAATTTCGTCGGGTAGTATCCGTTCACTCACCGACATATGAGCGGCATCGCTGATGTGATCTATCTTGCGCCAGGCGGGCGGCAGGGGCGTGGTGAGATGGTCGGCCATTTCCCTCGCCCTCAACTCGACGGCCGCGAACAGCCCGTTGAATCCCATCAGGAGCATGCGGCCGGCTGATTGTCCCGCGCGCCCCTCCGCCCCTGCAGCCGACAGTAACGCTTCATACTGTGCACGAAGTTCTGCTGCTGCGGCTTGTGCTCCCCCCGCCGGCGACTATATCGAAACCGAAACAAATAAAACTAGAGTTTCCAAATCAATTTTATTGCCGATGTCAATTGATAAATAAAACATTTATGCTGACACTATCTTTATGGTGAATTGGACTAACTGTTGCATACGACCATCATTCAATGAAAAGTCCGACTTAAAAAAAAAAATTGCTTATATTTTAAAGGTTTAGTTTTTGTCATTTAATTCAAGTACTCTTCTCATGAGTCACAAGTATAAAATATAATACTATACTATAATTACCTCCATATCCATGACTAAATATCTCAAGTGCATTTCTAATTGCGTCAGTAGGTCATTGAGCGGAACCGGACTATTAATTATAACTGTGTTTAATTCTGTAATCATTAGCAGAACCGACGGATCCTCAGAGTGTACCTTCTTTAGGGCCTCTGGTAATATTATAGTACTGAAATTGAAATTAAGTTGCACCAAGTCGGCTAACAAGAGATTAGCGTTGCGCACGCATTCCACGGCCAAAGGTAGAGCGGTCTCTTCAGCTGATGCCGCTTGAAGAGGTAGCAATGATAACAATTCTACAGCTTGCATAGATAGCGCGCTCATATCATCCAAAAACCACTCTCCTTCTCTAGATGTTAAGTCCACGAGACAGTCACCAGCGCTCTGAGCGCCGTTTTCCAGCATCAGAATTCTTCTGTTAAGGTTAACAAGCATACCCACGACGACACATTCTAAAGCGTGCGCTGCTCCTTCTTCCGTTCTCACCCAATTGCTGATATTGGTCTTTGCTTCATTGTACGCTTCTTGAGCGATATTCAGGGCATCTGGTCCACCTTCCAACTGTAACCTCTCTATAGCTTTGTTCAGGTTGACGTTAGCTTCAGCGAGGATAGCTTGTAAACGATAGTTATAAGCTAGAATTTGCGCAGAGTCAGCGTTGTTGGTTTCAGAGCACAGGGCAGTGACTTGGTTTGAGACTTCCCGACACACTTCGGGTGACTTGCTTTCGAGTGCCGTCGCTAAGTATTTGCGGAACATTACAATTCGATGATATTCAGTATGACTCTGGGGATAATACTGGGAAACGGCGACATATTGCGTTAGAAGTTCTAAACACGAACGCACGAGGTTTTTCGTCTGTTTTGTGCATTGATTTAGTTCAGCTTCAGCCTGCTCACACTGTGTCAGCATTGAGCTTTGACCTGCATTAGTTAAAAACTCTTTAATATATTCGAATATTGGTATCTCATCGTCGTCGTTGTTTCCTGAAAATTCTTGGACCCATGACATCAGTTGCGGCCCGTTTAAAGCTTCCGTGGTCTCCGCGAAAGCTTCTATTTGTGTATCGAAATCGTTGAGGATCTTAACTAAGGCTTTCATAGAATCTTCTACTGCATTTTTTGCTTGTTTATACGAGCTATACTTTTGGGAGATAGCATACAAAGGGTGACTACTCAGATTTGGTCCGAAGGCTTCTATTTCCTTTATAAGTGCCATCTGCTGTTGACATTCCTCTAATTTTGTTTCTATAGAGGCAACTTCCTCGTCTTCCTTCAACCAGTTTTCAGCCGCCTGTTTTATTTCGGGCAGGATCGACGTGTATTGTTCCCTATAATAACATAAATGGATAAAGTTTAAATCATCAAGTTAGTTCAATATTTGATGAGAGTATAATGGAACAATATACACTCAGAATTTATTTACTAAGCTGTTGCCGGAAGTATAGGTTAAACGGGGGTGGGTGGCTTTCGGTGAGACATTAACAAATATAATTTGCTTATATCGTGAATATTATACATGATTTGTCCTTTAGCGACGAAAATACCTGAAATGTTACGTTACAGAAAGTTAAATGAGTCACAAACAATTGTTTTTAAACACGTGTGCAAGCCAATTACATTTGTTAAATATTTAAAATGTTTCCTGTACCGCACAAAGTGAGAAAACTCTTTGTACCTACTTCGTAGTAATTTATTTCATTACAATAAACACTGACGTTCTTATTGTTTTGGGTTTAAGTGATCATCAATAGTTGAATTTTGTATATTGTCGCTGATATTTTCAAAACGTTAATTCTTCGACTTCTTTAAGGATTCAAGAACCTATTGTATGTGACTCTGTAAAATATTTAATTGGCAGTAATATTTAAGTCAGTATAAAAATACGGAAAATAACTTCCGTTGCAGTTAATTTCTATTCAGCCTCCTATCTTCACGTACAGGCGCCCTATATTTCCGAGCCAAGCAGTCATTTTCCACGGAAACAAAGCCTGCGTTTGTTTGCAGACAATGAATATACTTTACGGTGTATATTTTACGGCTCATAATAGCATATAGTACTTTTGAACGACACTATTGTGGAGTTGCCTGGGTTATTTTCAAAGAATATATGGTTTTATTCAAATTGTCATGTACTCGTAAGTCTTTGGACATAATTATGTATGAGAGGGGAAGTTACCAGTGAAAGAAAATATTAGTAACAGAGAAACAGTTTCGTTCACATAGGGATTACCACCGTCTCAACTAGAGTAAAGTAGTCTTCATATGAAACTTCGACAACAAATGCTCAATAGTAATGTAATAGTTCTATACATTATTTCTAACATTAATCTTCCCTATCTTACAATTGATCATGCCGACGGCTCTTGTCGCAGGCACGTGTGCGTTTGATTTGAATATTTCTAGGAAGTTTGTTTATTTTAGTAATTTAAACAGTCGCTGTATAGACCTAAAAATTTTGACAAAACTACTCGCTATTCATAATCTCTACTACAGTACTTGTGACGTTAGTTCTCGTACAAACACCGGATTATCGCATTTAATCGTAATATATTCTTACGTGGCTTGTCGCAGGTCATGTTTGAGTTCCTGTGCACGCACGGCGAGCATGGCTAGCGCGGCGCGAACATCCCTCTGCGTGCGTCGTCGCTTGCCGCCGCCGGTGCCCGTGCCCGCGCCGCTACCCCACTCCACCAGGGGATCGTACACGAAAGCCTCCAGCAGGGTTAGGAGGGTTTCACGTCCACGACGCATCGTGCGCAACACGTGCTCGCATGCCAACCGGAAGATACCCTGGCGACAAAATATGAACTATCACTCAAAAGTTTAACATATATGATACATTATGGAATAATTAACATTTAAAATATATGGAATACTGTGTCGTTAGAAAAACTATAAACCTAAAAAAATAAAACCGTCTTCCAAAAGTGTGATTAACAAATTCAAGAAACTTTCTGATTAAGTTTTTTTTTCAGTTATCCTGATATTAAAACAAATCTACTAATTTCATTTTGACAATTTAGATCTAATGACAAAGTGTTGTGGAAAATATATACAAAAAATTATTCAGTCGAATTGAGAATCTCCTCCTTTACATTTATTGAGATAAACAATAAATCTTTTTACATATAAAAATATATTGCAATATTCAGCAATACATTTATCGATTTGTAAGATATTTTTTGTAGCTGCTTTGACATTTTAATCTGACCACACTGGGATAGAATTAGTAGAAAAGTCAAGAGCTGCCTCTCTCCTTCAATTAAGTAGTGCATTACTGAATATTTTTGAATATTGTTGATCGATAAATTTAGCGACCAGTTACCTACTGCAAATATGTTTATAATTGCATAATCTGTGATGTAAGTTCAATTTTTATGTTTTTAGATTTTCTCATCTATACTACTACTATAAAAAGGAACGATTGTACACACGGGAAGCTACAGCATATGCGAGTGGATACAGGCTATAGTTAAAGTGGGCAAAGCCGTGGGAAAACAGCTAATCTGCTATAAACACGTGGCTGCAAGTCTTTCATTATAATCTTCAATAATTTTGAAAAAAAAATATATAGATATATCATTTTTTAAATAAACCTTTAATCTTAACCATCAAGCCAATAAAACCGGACTGTATAATAAAGGTTGGCTGGGCGAGAATGCTGAAATATAGCTGTTTTAATATTTTCACTCATTATAAATCTGATCGGGAGTATAAACAATTCCCTTTGATCTTCGCAACATACAAAGATAACAGAAAACACAGAATACCTTTACGTGTTGTCTTAGAGCTTGTTATTACTGTTTATTCATATTTTCTTTATTGGAGAAAATTTTATCTACACTAAAGGTTATGATTTAACAATAACAGTGAGTTGTTCTTAATATTTATCTACTCTTTGAGAAAAACTGTGATTCAGCTATAAAATTATTTAATTACTCACAACGTTACATAAAATATAATAGAATAAGATTTTTTCTTCTACACATCATTTTATAGAAGTCAACGTATTTTTATTAATAAATTAAAACAAAAAGGCACCAAATAAATAGTAAATAGTATTTGGCATATGCCGAAATCAAGAGTAATTTGTTAAACTGTTGTGTGTAAGTTATCAATATAAAGTACCTATTTATGTTATTTTATACATATTCAATTCACCAATTTGACACTTGAAAATTTTATTAAATAATTACAAAGTAATACATTTCAACCAAACAAACACGAGTACATTTGCTGTTTTATAAAAATGGAATTGCTTTGTTCGGTTATCGATCAATAAGTAATCTAATCTCGTTAGTATTAGACTTTCATTTCATTGACGCAGCTTAATCTTTAAAAACTCGAGTAAGTTTTAATGGAGTGTTCTTGTTGGAAGTGGAGCCGGTCGCCCGTCTTGCCTTTGGAAATATCGCTGTTACACATATCACGAAAATAAAAATATTAAATTTAGTTCAATAATAGCCTTTAATTTATTCCACAAAATTTTATTTCAATACCAAATCTATCTTATCTCCATGTAGTGTCTTTCGTTTCTTAAATTTAACGAACACGGTGTATCCGAATATCTTATCGATTTTTTTCAGTACAAAGTCTTCCGCCGTAGGTTTACTAACCGATGGTTCACCATTTAACCAATTTATAAAAAAATTGGTTTAAAAAAAGTCCATATTTTATATAATTGGTTAATGTGTGTTAAACTTTAAAGATTTAACACCAGCGAGAGCCTATAATAATACGTGGGAGTGTATTTGACGGGGCGGTTTACCAGTTTAACGTGACAGGGTAGGAAGGGGGGTATCGACTCGCGGGCGGGCTCCACTGCTGACACTTCATTAAAAGTTAGCACTACGACCGGCGACTACTATTTACGACTGCTAGGAAAATATAAGACTAACACACCGTGTATGTTTACCGCATCACCAACTTTGTAAGAAATTAACGAAAGAGCCAATTTTGCTTTAAAGTAATAGAATTAAAATAAAGTATTTTTTATTGCTGTTTATTTACTAACCATTAACATTGTGTTTTCTTTTTATACGGCAAATGTAACTACAATTTGTCTGACAATATTCGTGTAGGTATGCATGTACGAGCAGATTATATAAATTTGACCACAAATCGTGCGTGAGAATTTGTTGAAGCGTCAATTGATCTGATAAATAACTTCTTCCGGCGCACGTGACGTAATCTAAACTTTGGGACTGGAAAATGTAATCTATCTAATGTAGAATGAATGAGTCTCTTTATACATCTATCAGTGGCAATTTTGTTGGCATAATACAGATTCAGTTCTATTTAATCTTGTTAAAATACATTTTCAATTATGTAAATTAATAAAGATCACAGAAGTAAACTTCATCTAGCATACAGGAACACAGTCGACATTTTTTTAGATTACATAAACTACATTAAAATAGCGAATGATAATGATACAATAGAACAAGCACCATTATCGCCAGCATATTATTACCTATGCGTTTTTTGAACAAAATGAATATCTTAATATTATTATATTGGTATATATCTTAATATTAATAATAATATCTTAATATTATTATTCATATTATTATATTGGTTAATCTTCTTAGTTGTTATGATTTGTTTGATTAATTTCTACTACCGCTTATCTCATCGACGAACGGTTAAAAATCTGAGCCTCACCTGTGATTGTGATGTGATTTTATACACCGAACCTAGACCATTAACGTACTGCTACATGTGAGTCGTACCTATATCAGTGTAATTTCTTTTTGTCAATTTAATGTAATTGTGTCAAAAGAAAACGTCTTACAGACGTAGTGTTTCAATTATCTTTACACCTTACATCAGCTATCTTAAAAAGCTTCTAATGTTGACCAAATATGTTTTCAAAAATCAAATATACATAACAAAATTTAAGGAAACATCAAAACATAGACAAATATAATAATCTTCAGCTACCGGTCCTCAAAAGTTTTTTTTTTTTTCATTTACGTTGAAGTAATCATATGTGGCTGCTGAAACTAAACATTTTATATATCTATTGCTATCATATATAATCTATACAAATACATACAAATACATATGGAAATACTGATCCGATTATAAAAATATTTTTACCAAAATCAAATGCGGTCAAAGTAAAAAAATAGCTTGTACAAAATATAACAATGAACTTATTTCCATAATAGTACTGCGTAATAGTGAGCTGTTTTAATTCCAAATGAAATTTGTTACGTGCTGCAGCCGAACACTGACGGATTAAAAAGAAATACGGCCCTCAGTGCGACCCCGGCGGGACCGCTGAAATAATAATGAGCGACCAGACTTAGTGAGGCCAGATCAAAATTACAGCGCGAGATTTAATACGGAAAGCCAAACATAATTATTCAAACTCGGCCGTCGACTAACTCGTAACAAATCTTACCTCGGAATTTGAGACATCTCATTTTAAATTTCCACGCTTCCATTATTAATTACATTTTATATCAAAATAAAACATTTCCTATTAAAAGAATATGTTGAAAATATATTTAAATTCATATTTTCAATTTTTTTTTTTATTAACAGAGGACTATCTCGAAACTATGGCGCGTTTCTGATTTGTGCTAAAGGCGTTTGGTTGTCTATCTGAGTCAAGATTAGAATTTAAATATAATATTGTTATATTTGCGCACGCACATCATTTCTTAACAACCAAATCCATCCAATTTAAATTTTGAAAGAACTCGTTCGTACCATGGTGATTTCCGAGAAAAAGGTTCTTTTTTACTACATGTACAAAACAAAGTCTAAAAAAAATTGTATCGTATGCGTAATCGATCGACCGATTTTATCTCCTTGGTCGATGACTAAACTATATTTCATAGTCATACTTGTCTGTCCGTATTGCTTAAAAGGATGCCGGTCGTGTCGTGTATGTATTGTTTTGTGACCACAAGGTACGAGTACTTATCTATAGGCGTCAGCGTTGAATGAAAGAACCATTTTTTAAGAATGTCTATTAAGGTATCAACTGATAGGCTTGTGTGCTTTTTGGGATGGCGCTGAGTCTTGCTGAAAAAACCAACTCTTACTGTGAAATGACGTATCAGACAGGGGTTTCACCACGGACTCTAAAATGTCACTCTGATAATTCTTGGCTTTCACCTTGATATCTTGTTGGCAGAAATGAAGCGAAGTGACACCTTCATACGAAACTCTCCACCATACCATCACAATAGCCGGATGATGAGTACGCGAGACATTCCGTGCAGAAGCTGGGACATCCTTGCTACTTTTAGCTACAGTTTTAATTTTCGGTTGAACTTTTCTTCGACAGTAGAAAATTTCACGTCGGTGATGAGTATCTTCCTGGCATCATGTCTCTTCAACAGCAATGGACAACGTTCGCGTCGTAACTTACGAAGACGATCGTTTAGAATGTGAACTTTTCTACGTCTGTAGGCCTTTACCTTAAGATTATTTAAGTATTACGTTCATTGAAACGCGCAAAATATTACCCTGCAGAACAAGTTTCTTCTGAGTGCGACATGGATTTCGGCGAAGTCGCTCTCGGATGATTTTGATGTTCGCAAGCGTCCTCACAGAGCGTGGCCCGACCACTCCTTTGTCGATCTTGCAGAGAACTTGTCTCTTTGTACCGCTGTATTGTATATAATAGACGAAGTTACGGCAAACAGGAAAACTTTTCTTTTTGCCGCCTTAAATAGCGAAATGACAGTTGCACGTAATTGTTTCGTTAACTCCATCACGAGAAAATATAAACAAATGAATTTGCAATACAAATAAACTAAAAATTAACATTCCAAATTCAAAATCGGTAAAAAATAAGCTCGTACCATTTTATTGTATTTTTTCAAAAAGTTTGTCTCAAAATTTATGAAAAAACGAGGTAGAATAATGGCGGCTTTATCGCTTGATAAGAAACATATACGTGTAGATATTTTAGTAAACATATATCTGAGCACATATGAAAATAAAAAACTATGGTTAGCTGCATTTTATCAATACGTTTCATAATTTAAAATATTTTCAACATAAAAATGTTCTTGAAAACAGGTTTTTTAATCCGTCTCAATAACTTTGCAATATCAAAGCCAAGTTGTTTGTAAGTTAAGCCGGGGGGGTTTATGAAAGTTACGAGAGGGCATCGACGATTGTTCACGAGTGCCCGCCTACCGATCCTTTTCACATCACCCTTTCTTTGAGATGTCTTTAAAAATAAACGGGTTTATTATCATCTTTTCAAATAAAATATTTAAGATTCGTTCAGTGGAGACTTGAATGAAATGCAATTATCTTATAGAAAAGTTAAAAAATCGACTCTCGAACCCTTTTGCAAACGAGCCAACTGAGTCTCGGTCACCCATTCGACAAGCGGTTATTGCGAAAGTAATTTATTCTCAACGATCGCATAAGAAACCAAGTAATCACTGCTACGCCATCAACCTTCTCAATAATTCTCCAAAGAAACATGTATTAATGAAAAATGTTGTATACTTAAATCGGTTACTATTAAAAATATACCGAGTGGCTTTCGCTATAATAATGATTTGTAATGAAATAAATAATCTTAGGCAGACCTTAGAAATAACTAAATTTGAAATTTCTTAAAACTCGTAATCTTTTCTTTAAAGAAGAGAGGACAAGTGTCATTTTTAAGTTTAATAATAATAAAAGCGACGTTCAGAGATGGAATGTTATAAATTAAACAAGCCAGGTTAATACAAAAATATGTCGGCTTGGTTAGTTAAAAATAAACCTAGCAATACCTGGAAGCACAAGATAAAACTCTATAAATATGTCCACGTAATTGCCCATCTCTGCCTTTTGAAATGGATGCCTATTAGAAAACGTAGAGATGTCCGTGTTGTGACCACCCTGTTTTCTTTGTCGCAAATACCTAATGCCCCCAAGCTATCTCTCTCCACACTTTCAGTGCTTATGTATGAGTCATACAAAAGCCCTTTCATCTTCTTCTTATAGACTACTTCTTTGTCGTGCTCATCACTCTGAAGTCATCCACTCTCCCTTTTTTGTTAAAGCCATTCTTTTATGTAATGCACTCCTTACCGATAACACAACGTCCCCCAGTCGGTTTTCTTTTAAAACCAAGTTGTGCGATTTCTTATTAAATCAGGCAGAATCTTAAAATTGTTATCTCATATCTACTAAGTTTAATATTCAATAATATTTATATTTATATTAATATGCATTATATGTATGTATGAATTATATGTATAGGTATATATTCTCTTCCTTACTATGTGTGAGTATGAATTATTCTAAATAAAATTCAACATTACATACGCACCTACCTTTATCGCTTATTTTAATCTCCACATCACCTAAAGTTTGACTGGCAGAGAATGACTAAGACAAAAATTCCGCCTTTGTACGATTGTGAATAAAGAATAAAATAAATAAAAACACAAAGGATCAACAACAGCCTTAAATGTGTTATCCACATGATTTGTGTCTAAAGTGAGGACAGGATAAACAGAACCCTCTATATTCTATACAGATACCGTAACTCGGATCATGTTGTCTGTAGCAATTAAGATTGCGCATAAATACAAAAGAAAAATCTAGATGAAATCAATAGGCCAATTAACTACCTCTAGCTTTAGGTTTATACATATTCACATGATATAATTTTCTCAATTCTAAGGTTCCACACCGAAAGGTTAAAAACGGGAACCTATTACAAAATTACTAAGAATCCGCTGTTTGTCTGTCTGTTACCAAACTGTATCTCTCGAACAGTAATAGCTATAAAATTGAAATTTTCACAAATGATGTATTTCTGTTGCCTATAACAATGGGAGACTCCCATATAACACACGTTATTATTTGTGTTTTCTATAGATAACGTTACAAAAACCATCACACGCGAATCAGACTCGCACTTGGACGGTTTTTAATATATAACTTATGTAAACTTTATTTCTTTGTTTACATGTAATTATGTATTGTTATAAGGTTTACGGCTTTACAAAAGAGAAACAAATACAAAATGGAAAACGAGACGAAATCAATGTGCCCGTCAATGAGATAGATGGAGAAGGGACGAAGGTGTATAAAAACTAATATTTATCAATTATTCGGAAATCATAACGATTACTGTAAAAGTTATCGGTAAAGTTCTTAGGCAAGTAATTTGCATGTTTATAAATTAATAATAAAAGAGTATAATAACGAGAAGACATGAATAAAATGGTAAATTCAGAGGTAACATAATAGGTAAATTTTTTATGTCGAGTAAATAATGTATATTCATGTTTTGGTCAGTACCTAAATCTTACGGAAATCTGAAACGACAATATTGACACCCAGACCAGAGACAATATAGAAACGTAATTTTTTTTATATTGAGCCGAATGAGAAATCTAACCGGAGACCTAAGAATTGGCGATATTATGAATTCGGCGCACGAGCCACTCTACCACTAAAATAGTCTTCTATGCTCGCTGATGCATGAATTTGTCTTTTCGGATTATTAAATTTAGCTACAGTTATCTTTGAATTGATTATTTCAAAATACTAATTAGCGAATTAGTATTTTGAAATAATCAATTCGCTGCATATGTATATTGCAACAAAAATTGTGACTTATAGCGACTTCAGAGGTTGATGAAATTTAAACCTGCAAACTTCGAGCCCTTGGGATAAATCGATATCTAATCAAGCCACGTACACGTATAGGCACGTACGTACACGGCAAAACTAAGTAAATATTAAATGAAATATTTACTGTGCGCTCTTACCTTTGTCACCGTTATTTCTGTAAAACTAAAACTTTCTGGATACATCTTGAACCTCAAAAGACCTAAATTTTCCAGCTTTCAGCCTTGTAACAATCAACACCTCACCCCAAAAAAAAGTTATTATGTTTAAAATTTACTAATATTATGATATTAGTGGAAACTAACGTCGTTCACTCTAAATTGTATTTTTCAAGGGTCTGAACCCTCAAACTCATGTTGTGAGACTCACAAGATGAGTTATTATACTGCTATATAAATGTTAACTTTGGGTCTTTCTAAATCCTCTCTTGGTCCGCGACCACATATAAAAGGGTCCTTGATCGACCGAAACTACAAATATTAACTCAAATATTAAAAAAGGTCAAAAAAAATCAGCATCACCTTTCAAATTAACATGTTTTTATTTGAATAAAAAAAAAGGTCAATAATTTGAAATATTTACGATATTTTTTTGTTATAGAAATAATTTTAACGAGGGATATCCTATTTGACGTCTTAGGGGTCGGTGGGGTAGATGTTAGGAAATGCTATTCAGATATAGATAGATAACTTTTATTGCTATAATCTTATTAGGGCACTCAAAATTTAGTTAGAAACAAAAAAGAAATATATGACGCTGTTTTAGTTTTTGAAATTCATACACTTTTATTGCTTATTGTGTTTTTATATTGTAGTCTGGTTTCGACAACTGATTTGTAAGGAAAATTTGACGACGATGCCTTAAGAATTTAGAAACATTTTCTCCACTTTTAGAAGTTCTATAACGAAAACAATTAAATACACTAACCCTCATGCAGACTGTAAATGTAAACACAATTTCCATATACTGAGACCTATACAACGTTCTCAAATGACAAACAGTAATGATCGACCGTATCAAAAGCTTTATACAAAACAAAGGCAATCAGTGAATACAAAATTTGCATGTCTAAGAAAAAGGAATTTTCTGACTATCATCAAAGGAAAAATCTAAAATTTTCTCGCTATCAACAAAATAGAGATATGAGACAATTATTAATGTTAACTACATCGACAAAGGAAATGGGAGAACTCATTTTGCATATTAAAGCAATCTGCCATGCGGGCTGCGCTATCTAAATTAAAGTTGTCGTCCCGGTGAAGACCAATTACGTCATAATAGCTGCGAGCAAACAAACGCATGGCATTTACTTTAAATAAAGAAGAAACTGGACAAGGAAACTAATAAACTATGAACGTCAGAGTCACGTTATTTTATTTATTTATTGGGGAGAATGAGTAACAGATACAATAAGACAAATAGATATTTAAGAGATCTGTTGTAACAGTATTTGTTTAAAAAAATTAGGTTAAGTAGTATTCATTTATCAATGTATTGCAACATAGATATGGTTTATACAGTTTTCAAAATACACATATTTGTCAAAATTAAAAGTGGTTCATATAATTTTTTTATTTAAGCAAATAACGGCATTCTACACCTCTTCAACTTCAACGCAGTTAAATTAAATGTATAATACTTTGGTTCGAATGGATATATTAGAACCAAAGTATTACGCATTTAATCAATTAATAAGAGTATGTTATAAAATAGTTTAAAGATATTTGTAACGTGCAAACACTCGACCCTCATCCATTTGTTATTTTCTGTTTGTTCGCTCACTCTTAATAGATTTTTTCAGTAGCAAGCGTCGTCATCTCTTATCGAGAGACTTACGTCACTAACTTTCACAAATGCTTTTGACAATAATAAAATATACATACTATTTGTAAGGTCTCTTTGAAATTTGAATCCTCAAATTATATAAGTTGTACTTCAAGTATACAAAACCTATTATATTTCTCAACTACAAACGAATCAAAAGACTTTATCATCCCAGGTAGACTGGTGGTTTTCCCGATCAGATAAATCTTCAAAAGACTTCCTGTAATGGTACCAGATCATTATCACTGTCCTTTCGTCACTCGCATCCTCCACATTCAACATTTATGTAGTACCATGCCTTAAATATTTCAAATTGACTATCTTAAAAAAAATATTTCTGAAACTTGATGGACAATTTGAAATTCTATCATGGTTAATATGTTTACTTTCAATACGCCATGAAGTCAAAGCTGTCTATTATACCATGAAGTTCTATTACTAATAGTCGTAGGTTAGGTCATGCAGGTCATGTAATGTTAAGTTCCTTCGGTCTCACATTTATCATAATTTTGCTTAGTCATTTTCAAACCAATATTTTCACGGAACCCTAAAATAAAACAAAACCCACTTTTATGTGTACTTATTAGAAATAAATCACATATCAATACCAACATATTTTACTTTAACTGTGAATATCTGCGAGCAATTTAATACTAAATTCGTGAATAGATCTGTGATGCGTGATTTACAATTCCTTTTATGATCAATCAATTATTGGTGTCAGTTTTAATATGAATATGGGTCAAATATTTGAACCCCTAACATTTTCGTTGCGGAGCCCTAGGAGGCTCTATAGAGCGCTCACTTTAAGTATAGCGGGCTTTAGCAAACACGAGAAGATAGTGATTTATCTGACAGATTCTGTTTGAGACATCTGACCGGCACGTTTGCTTAATGATAGGAAGGTGCGGTGTAATTAAAAGTTTTTCACTCGCTCCATCTCAATCCAAGTTACAACTTCAAGTTTTTAGGATTGTGTTTCGAAACCAAGAAGATTTCCATCTACAATAGTAGATGGAGATCTTGTGAGAACGCAAGTGTAAATAAACTGTAATATAAATAAAGTTCTATAATACTTTCCCACAGAAACTACTATTAAAACGATATAATTTACCAAATATTTTTACCAAGTAAAATTATAAAACAGTATGAGTTACATTTAATAATGAATTCATTATATAAAAACACATCAAGACCTCAATAGGTCTACAATTTTTTTCATGTGTCTCTATATTCCATAGATATATAATTCCATTAATTTATAGGTACATTTATCAATTTACCGTAAAGTTATCAAATTAAATAAGTGTATGACAGTTTCCGATATCTCATGGCATATTTGATGTAATATATACCCTTCGTTCACTACCTCAAGTTGCACAAAACAACCGTTAACTACTTCTATATAGTTAGTGAAACAATTCTATTATCTAAATTCAGATTCCTGTACAAATACACCTCATATGAGGTGGGCGTAAATTTTGTGTTATCATCAACCTCTCGCGAGGATGCGGGCTCGCGCTATGCGCATCAACTTTTATTTAAATTAAAAATGTACATTTTTGAAGTAGCTATTCATATTTGCAATGCCGCTTTTGTTGCGAAAAACGGTTAGCGTGGTTTTTCACATAGTTAGTGTCACATTAAATGAAGCTTTCAAATTATGTTAATCCTTTTTACCGGCATCTTTCATGACTATGCATATTTTTTATTCTATATGACAACGATCATATTTTCCAGGAATTAAGTAGGAATGTCACAATGCTCAACCGTAGAGCGGTAGTGGCTTCGCAATTCATCTTTAATGATTTTTGATATGATGTTATATAAAAAAAAAACTTTTTCTTATTTGTTAGTGGCTTATCTGCGCATTTCGCACAATTCTGCCAATGTCAAATGAATAAATTTTCTACATGTAAAATTAAATTAATAAAAATGGCGATGAATCATAAGTGAACATTTAGACGATTGACATAAAGTTTGGATATGCAAAATCTACTAGTAACAAGATCAATGTAAAAAAAGTAAGCAAAGATATTGGTACACATCATGGAACAGGGACGTGTGACGTACTTACCTAATAATCAACTAACGACCCACCTCAGGTTAGTATGAGTGCAATTAATGATTAGTAAGAGATTAGAGTAGATTATAATTACGTACATGTATAGATTTAATATATATAGATAAATATACGTATAGATAAATATTTGTGATGGATCAGGTAGCCAAGGCTAAAAGATTGGTTCTCCCATGAGAATCCATATCCATATAAACTAAGATTTCTTTACCACGTTATTGTTAACTGTTAATGTTTTTCTCTACAAGCTTAGTCATGTACCAAATACGTGACTATTTAGAAGTAATTTTTAGAATGGAGCTTTGTGAAATTATGTGGATGTGATTTTTGGTGTCTTCGTGGTTATACTAAAAGCTAGTGCAACACGTTCAGAATGCATGTACCCGTTATAATATTCCACGTAGAGCTCATATTACTCCATATTCGTATAAAGGAAGTTTATTAAATATGCAGTCAAGGCATTCTTTAAATTTTGCATACTTATTATTCGGAATTACCAAGACAGTCTGTATATATATATAATATGTCTGTATAATAGTCACAATAATTACTACCAAAACAAAGGTTTTGCCAAGGGATATTTTAATGTTATTCATGTTATCGTAGCATATATCATCATCATCACCATGATGCGGAACGTGCTTTTCAGTACCATGATTTAATAAATTAGTAGCAAGCTTTTTTAGTGTTACTTTAATGTGACGTTACTAAATAAACTTTTTTTTTTTCAGAAAACCCTTTCGCACTATATGACTACATTATATAAAGAACACACCCTACACGTTTCAGGTCTCTATAACCAGCTATTTAGGCTGCGTGTTGATTCGACATTCAGTTATTCAGGAGTCAGGACAAAGTATTTTATACGTATAATCAGTTCGCTTAAAAAATAAAAAAGCAATAAACCGTTAATAGTAAAAAATAAGTAATTTATTAGAAGTATTTATTTATTAATTTAGAAGTAGATGGCGTGCAATTGGGGAGGCCTATGTCCAGCAGTGGACGAATATGGGCTGATGATGATGATGATGAAGTAATTTATTGATTCTTTATTTAATATTATAAAACTCTCTTAAAAGCATCGATAGAAAAATGAGTTACCTATCAAAAATAAATAACATTTCTAGTGTATCACTATTTTCATAAATAATTAAGCACTAAATAATAATTTGTTAATTTTAATTAAAATCTGTTTACTTAATTAATCAGCTCTCATAAAATTAAATATGATCACATAAATCTACCACTTATGTAACATGTGTATTTCAGCACTGGTCTTCA